ACACAAAGCCCCGCCGGCCCTGCATAAAGGATCATGCGACTTAGTAACTAGGGGTATAAGGTAGCTATACTTATATAGCTACTTATAACCCCAATTAAGGTACTCATAACCTTACTTACCAATTCCCATGATCCTCCAAGTGCACCTGCATGAGCCTCTGCCCCGGCGCTTAGGAAGCCCGCGGAAGCCAACCTCGGTTCGGAGCGTAGAGGGTTTAAGGGTTTTGGGTTGAGGGCTCAGGGTATATATGGTTCAGGGTTTAGGGTTTTACGATTTTTCCAACTTGGTGCACTTCTCGATTTGTGCGTGTCACCTTGAGCAGGGGCTACGAAGAGTTCGGGGTTTAGGGCTCAGGGCTTGGGTGTAGGGTTTAGGGAGCGTCAAAGGTTTAAGGGGTTTATGGGGCGTTAAGGGTTCAGGGTTTAGCGGGTCGAAGGTTGAATGTGTCTTCAGGGGCTTAGGGTTTAGGGCCACAAGGGCTCTTATTATGGCCAAAAGTGCTTGCCAAGGTTGCGAAGCTTACCCTGTATGCGGCCTTGACATAGAACAAAATTTCTCGTTTGGAGTTTAAGATGTAGTCCATCTTCCCTGCCACTGGGATACTAAGTTCTGCTTCCCATAAGGTTCAAGTACGGCTCAAATAACAACGGCCCACTCTGTACATAAATATATGTGTATATATATACACATATGTGTAAGTATATATACACATATATATACACAAGTATATATATATATATATACACACTGTGTGTATGTCTTTATATACATATATATATATGTATAGGTATTTGGATTCCTACGGAAACTTTAGGGGCTTTTGGAGGGCACTCTCATTTGTGATTGCTTGATAAGGATCGCTCTACAGGTCTGTCGTGCCACAATAGGGGCAACTTTCTGAAGCTAGCTGCATGCTTTGGGGCTATCTGCAGGCGACCTTCGCACAAAAATCACGATAAAGGAGAATTCAATCTCAAGTATGAACTTTTAAACACATCCGAGTATGAAACCTTGAAGCCCTAAACCTCAAAACCCTGGAACCCTAAACCCTGAAAACCCTAAGCCCATCTAAACCCTTAAAACCCTAAAGACCAAGGCCCAAGGCCCCAACAGCGACGCTGCACGCGGCGGCAGAGATGACTGGGCCTTGCCCGCAGCAGCACGCAGAGCCACCATGAGCTGGGCAACCAGGGCCTCCAAAGAAGGGCTCCTTAAAGGGTTCTATCAGGGTAGTAGTAGTAGTAGTAGTAGTAGTAGTAGTAGTAGTAGTAGTAGTAGTAGTAATAGTAGTAGTAGTAGGGCTTTTTACGGGATCTATGTGGGTCTAGGAGTCTTCACAAGCTTTGCCTAAATTGCCGTGGCACTGCGGAGTTTCTCAAGAAATGGGCTAGGGTATGGCTCTATGGTAGTTCGAGATTTCATTGTGCAGGTCGTCATGAGCTGCGCCACGAAAGCCTTTGCAAGGCTTTCTGACGTCAGCATCTGAAAGTTGTGCTTGGTTCGATGAGCAGGGCTACCCATGCCTGAAACATGTTGCACTGGGTGGACATTTGTTTGGCTCACGGCGTACAGTACTAGAGGTTTGAAGCCTAAGTGCTTTAGAGGCTCTGGCTCAAGTTCGAACTGAAAATCGATTTGAAAACAGACTTGAACCGATTTCCTTCAACTCAACTTTGGGCGCCCGAGCCGAGCCCCCAAACCTTGCAAAGAAGCTAGACCTGATCTCTCAACTTGAAGAGGCACCAAGACCCTCCTTGTACCCTCAAATACTGCTATAGAGTCCCAAATCATGGGTATCTAGGGCCTGACAAAGGTACATTGTTAGTCTCTTGTTGCCTACCTATATGAGTGACTATATCCCGGAAGCCCAAAGGATCATATATTTCGATCCGACACCAAAACCGCAAAGCCTTAAACGATGAAACCTGGAGCCTTTACCCCAAACGCCAGAGTCCCTAAGCCACAGAATCTCAAACACGAAGTGGCCTCATCACAAGACACGGGATTAGGAGTATATTATACTTCAACCATATCAAGGGATATAATATGCGATAACTATAAGACGAAAGGCCATGACGCTGTAACATTCAACTCCGAGCACCAAAACTAGACCTAAGAGTAACCTAGGAATAAAGAAGGGTGCCCTTTTTGGTTTAAAGGGGTTTATAAGGGAACCTGAACCCTAAAACAATGGAATAGGGGCCTACTCTGGGTCCTAGAAAACATCTTCTTCAAGCCAGCCCAAAGCTCCTATGCAACCCACGAATCCTAAACCCTAAGTCCCAAAGCTTAGCCCTCAACTGCAGGATGTAAGGCTTCTGGCTTGCAGCATGATGCGGTTGGAGTTTGGCGTTCAGGGTTTTATAGGGGGGGGGAGGGCTTACAGTTTTGTGGGTGTCTGATAGACTCCAAATCTCTGGGCTGCAGGGACAACACGGAAGGCCTCTCCAAGGGTAAAAGGAGGGACCCTTAATCAGGACCCCTAGGTATATACCCTTAATATAGCTATTACATACCCATTATATAGCCCATTGTTGGGTAGGGCTCCCTATCAAGGGTCCCTCCTTTTCCCCTTTGAGCCTCAAGCGTGAGGGATGCTGGGGAATAAAGGATTCTTCCAACTTAAAAGCACTTTTCAGATAGCTTTTCGAAGAGGGTAGGCACGGATTGCTTGGGAAGTTCGAAGATACCGGTAGTCTCCATTGTAGTTCCGTCCTCTGGCAATCCACATTTCTATGATAGGATCCTAAATAAGCATAAAAATGTCTGGCCAAAGAACAGCTACAATGGAGACTATAGGAAACCCCTAAACCTTAATGAAACCATAGGGGAGCGAAGCCGCTGAGAAAGGCACCAGTCCAGCCGTTGTCTCTTGGGTCATCATCTCTTTCAGGTACCCTGTGGATGTGTGGGGTTTAGGGCTTTGGGTTTAGGGCTTAGGTGAAGTCTTCGGGCTCTTTTGGTGCTTCGCGGTGCCAATGTGTGCAGGGTGCTTCATTACACTTGCGGAGTGTCTTAAAATGACTAACCAACACTGACCCTAAGGGTCCATGTACCCAAATAGTATATAATTTGGGCCCAATGTACCCATATAGGGAGTACTTTAAGGCCAATGTATGTACTATTTGGGTACATGGACCCTTAAACCCTAAACCCTATAGAGCCCTTATAGAACCCGTATAGTAACCCTTAAAGGAACCCCTATTTAGGTACATGGACCCTTAGGGTGACTGCTGCAACATGCGAAAGCTCAAGGGACTGATGGTGCCGTCAGCTCTCGATATCAGTTTGGGAAGTCGTCCAGAGGGTCCAAGTACTCCCTATCACAACCCTAAACCCTAAACCATCATAGTTATAGGACTTTAGGGCCTGTTTAGGTACCAAAAACCATACATAGGGACTACTTGGACCCTTAGGGTCAGACAAGACCAGAGAAAGAATGCTTGAATTGCCTTTCGCATGCAACTCGAAGCCCAACTAGACCCACGATTGTGCTGCCTCGGTCGGGATTTTCTGCCATCTTGGGATGAGACTTCAGCTGTCCTATAACCTAAACTCTGAGCCGCTTTTTTGGACTCAAACCCTGGACGCTGAGGGGCCGTCAGAAACCTTAAATCGCCTCCAAGCGCCCCCTCAAGCTTTGTTGCTGAGTTCATAAGCCCAATAGTATACACTTTCAGTTTTATAGTCGGCAATATTATCCCAAAAGTGTAAAGTGTGTCCACTCAGCTACTAAGTCAAGCTTTGACGGTGGTAAGGAGAATCTGCCAAGAACCCATGCCTGAGCGCTCGTTGCCCGCACCTCAGATTCAAGACGCTGGGGTTAAACGATGTAGAAGGAGTATGTGGCTCGACGGCGAAGTCGTATCAAAATCCTATTGATGCGTTGACTATCATATGGTTTCTTTGGATGAACCCTAAACCGAAAGCCTAAACAGTACCTTGAGCCTTCTACGCCCTAAGCACTGCGCATGGAGGATTATCCAAAGGCAAGTATGCATTTAGGGAGCGAATGAATAACCCGTCCACTGTTGTTGTTCCAGCTGCGGAGATGGCTAAGGTGCGAAAGAGGAGCACATTGGAAAGATTCTGGCTAGCGACGCGACGATGGCGACAAGGATGTGGATGCTGCTACTACTGTACTGCTTGAAGGCATGGTTATGGAGAGGAACATCTTTACGCTGCTGAGGATGACCATAACCATGAGGGCGATCACGATCATAACATGTTGATGGACAGACCGATGGCGATGACTGCTGTGACTGCTGGGGCTATCAAGCTCTGTTTGCTGCTGCCATCCATGTAGACGGTGTTACGGACGATTCTCAGGTTGACAGTGGTGGTCATGATGACGATGCTGATGATGAAGACGACAGCGGCAATAATAATAGTACGACTGCACACGGTACTGTTGATGCACCTGGCGTGGAGCTTTCGTCGGTGATACAGCCGCCTATCATGATCTAACGACGACGGGGGCAACAACGAGGACAGCGCATGGAATAAAGGGAACTCCAGAAAGTTGGAATATGGTTTCAGGGTAGGATACCTTATAATTTACCATAAAGGGTTTAGGATAATCATATTCCAACTTTCTGGCTTTTACCATAAGGGGTGAATGTTTTGTTGAAAAAACAGATGACCATGCTGTGCTCGCAGATGACAGCAGGAAGTGTTGCTAGTCTCCTTGTTGTTGTTGTTGCTGTTATCGTTGCGACTATTACTGTCCCCTAAGGGTCCATGTGCCTAAATAGCACATACATTGGCCTTAAAGCACTCCCTATATGTGTACATTGGGCCCAAAGTATATACTATTTGGGTACATGGACCCTTAGGGGTCGTTTGCTTGGGGATACCAACAAGGAAGGTCGGAGCTGATCCTGATAACGACGGCCGCAAGCAGGGGGCTTAGGGTTTAGGGTTTCGGGTTTAGGGGGCAGCTTGCACGCAGTTGCGTAGCTTTGCTTTTTGCAGGCTGCCATCATCGACAAGGCAAGCACTCAGCATGCAGCGAAGGTCCTCCGCTTCTTGCGCTCTCCGTGATCTGGTGATGGGGCCTCGGCCGCAGACTCTCCCAACAGCTTCAGCACCGCTGCCGGAAGAGTGCGCTTCTTTACCATAGTCTTGACCTTGCTGTTGCTGGTCCCAAAGGTCCTGCATGCCCGCTGCAGAAGCTCTAAGCCCTTGAGAATTGCAGCTTCCGTGATGGCCACAAAGCTCTTGACAGTGACCATCCCCGTCAAAATTCCTTCCAGGACCGGCACTATGCTATCCACTTGCCAGCGGTGGGCCAAGTCCAAAGCAACGAGCACTGTCTTGTAGTCTGGGTCATCCCGTGTGGAGCTCGTGTACAGCATGTCCACTAGCAGCCGCACGCCAGAACCCGAGGAATCCTTGACAGGAATCCTTTTGCTCGAACCTTCCTTCATGGTTGACTGAAGCATGGCCTTCAGAACAGGAGAGGCCGCAACCAGAATGAGGTCGTGAGCCGACACTTCATCATCAGCTGTTTCGAAAACCACATTGTGTGTAGAGGTCATGTTTTGTACCGACTCCCAAGTATCGACCACACCTTGCGGGACCAAAAGATTGGTCTTCCTAGACATAGCGGTGCCCTTGGTCATGATTGCCACAGCCTGTCTTAAATGCTGGATGCACAAAGACCAGTCGACATAAAAAGGTACCTCTGTCATGGCTTCCAGCGCTGCGCAAGCAAAGGTAAGTGCAGATTGTCCTGCGCAGGCAACGCTGATATTGTCAAACTGATGTTCCCCTTTTTTCAATTCTAAAGCCTTTGCTTCAGGACCCATCTTTTGGAGCGGGCTTGCTCCCGACTGGACCATCCACTCAATCATCTTCAACGCATTCTCGGCTGTATCGCGTCGGCACAACGGTTTCAGTACCAGAACCAAAGGCGGCCTCCTGAGACATCCGGGCTGCTGTGCTCAGCTCACGACCCAGCTCTTTGCCTATACGCGCTCTGCGTGAACCTACTTGTTAAAAGGTAAGCTGTAGACCCGAAACCTTAAGCCCTAATCCCTAAACCCTATAATCCCTAATCCCTAAACCCTAAACCCTAATCCCTAAACCCTAATCCCAAAACCCTATAAACCCTAAACCCTGATAGCTGAACTATCCCAGCATCTGGCGGGGACCCAGGCACTGGGACCAGTCATAGTGGTCTGGAGTAAACGATTGCAAACCTGACGTCTTGCTTTCTTAGGGCTTCGGGAGGTTTGAATAAGGCCGCTTTTAAAGGGTGCCATACTTTGAGCCTACTGTCGTCCCTGTTGGGGTACTTTAGGGTCCAAGTTTATGCTATATTATATGGGTGCATGGACCTGAACCCTCAACCCGAAACCCCAAAACCTCAACCCTGTGGCTTTTAGAAGCCAGAAACCTTCCAGGTCAGCCACTTTGATCAAGGCATGCACGACCTCGGAAGTAGATGATGAGGCGGCCATGGCGCAGCGAACCAGAAAACCCGCAACCCAGAGACGAAAGCCTAACCCAAAGCGTCCGAAGTACCTATATAGTAGAATGTAAGGTTTCTATATTAGGAATTACCATTATGATTTGGGGAAGTATCTCCCAGAACAGTGCGTAGGACCTTTTGGTTAAACCCTAAAACCCAAACACCCGAAACGAAGCCCGCACTCACAAACCGAGAAATCCCTGAGACAATAGAAAATACCGGATCCTGCGGCTGGGCTTGACAAGGATGGCTTGGTACGACAGCGGTTAAGCGAACTCTGCCTCTGGACACCCATCGGACGATTCGGCTTGTTGACGGACATGCTGGGAGTCCGGACCATCCACCCCACGGAACGGTCGTACCCCCTTAAAGTCCAAAGACATATGCCTGAACTCAGAGCCAGCCGGTATACTCTAAACTACACAAAACCAAATCCCGCAAACCTGAAAGCGAGAAGACTTCGCACTGTAAGGATTCCTAACTAACCCTAAACCCTAAACCCTAAACTGCTAAACATCGAAACCCCTACCGTACTGGAGGGTCAGCAGGGGTGAACAGGCAACAAGGTCTCCTTCCCGCCCAACATCGTAATGTATGTCTTTACATCGATGTAAAAAACATACATTACAATGTATAAGAAGACAAGGCTTTCAAGGATTTGTCTGACCGCAAGAACTGAAAGAAGGAAAGCGCAAACCACAAAAACCTTACCGTCGCGGCCTAGGCCGTTTTGAGGTTCTCAGGCTTATGCGCTTCAGGGATGTTCAGAACCGCATTCAACTGCAGAGCTTAAGATGTCTTCATCTGGCCTTGAGCCCTTAACCCAAAACCTTGAAGCCTCAACCCCAAACACAAAGCTCCAAGACCTGAGCCCTACCTAGAACCTAATGTAGGAACCTGATTAAGAAACCCAGGGCCTATAACCCCCTAAATAGTAGGATTCATATAAGGAACCCCAAGAAAGGCCCAAGGTTTCTTAATCAGGTTCCTACCCCTAAACCCATTATAGCACCCTTATAGATCCCTTATAATAACCTTGTAGGACGCCTTTAAAAGGAACCTTAAGGTCCCCTTATAAGTTCCTACATTACTCTTCTGAAATCCGACAGCAATGCAGTCTCGGATCGGTATAGGAGATCTACCCACAAACCCCATCAGACCGTCTGCTGCACCGCATGCATACGGCTGATGATAGAAATCCTGCATTACCCATCATAAGGAATATACCATAATTCCCATAGTTTAGGGTCAACCGTACTTAGCACAAACGAGAAGCACTACAATAACCCCCTGTATGGGCTAGTTGTGGGGTCCGGCTCGGTTCAGCGATCAGACAACAACTGTAGCTCCAGGAATGCAACTTATAAGAGGTGATCAAGGTGTCCCCATGCTCATGTGGGCCACTGTGCATATATTGTACTCTCTAGGCATGGCAGTTGCCCTGTTTTCGACCACGACGAACACTACTATTGGGGCTCATGCTGCTGCTACTAGGACTCAGGTATCAATACTCGAACACAGCATGGAACATGCGGCAACCTCCAACAACTAGAAAACAGGCAATCAGCCACAGGATGCAGCACCGTCGAAAAGAGAACAACACCATGCGAGCATAGCAGGAAACAAACCATAAGCTCGCCGACGACGGACAGACATCCAGACGAGCCGCATCACAATAATAAACATCAGAGAACTAACCAGTCACCAAGCGCTAATCGGTTCCACGCGGCTGAGAGCAACTGCTTCTTCCGCGTATAGAAAACGCATCAGTACTTAATTCGGCCATGCATCACAGCAAGAGTCTTAATGCATCTTGAAACCATTCACGCCCCCCTTCCCCCAGAATGGTCAACATGGTCAGCATCATGTACGCCATCATTTGCGTCACGAGCACATAGATCGCAATCATCGGAACACGACGATCAACACATTTGCCATGACAATACGGCCATAGGCAAAGACAGTGAAGCAATGACAGTGAGCATGACGAGCTAACTTCGACAAGTTAAACCTACGGCCAGAGCCCTCAAGCCCAAACTCCTTTCATCAACCGCAAGCCCTGAACCTAGACAAGGAGAGGCGTGATGGTTTGCCATATAGGCCATGCCATAGGCTTCAGAAGTTCAGAACTGCAGAGCTTCATGGAACTGATGCCACGAAGGGTTTAGAGTAACGGATCTTCTTCATGTTCACGGGGATATGTCTAGCAGTAGTAGTAGTAGTAGTAGGAGGTGGTAGTAGTAGTACTTGTTGTTGTAGTTGTAGCAGTAGTTGTTGTTCTAGTAGAGTTGAAGATTTCAGACTCTGTTTCTAAGTTTTTTTTTGAGGGGGGGGCGGTGCTCTGAACATTGCCAAGAGTGCTGTTGTTGGCCACTGTTTCTTTTCGACCGGGGAGGTGACTATGGAGAGATTTTGAGCGGGAGAGCAATTGACGTGTTGAGGCAGCGCCAGTCACGATAGTGTTGAGGGCACCTTTATCGGAGCCATGGTTCAGGGTTTACTGTTTCCCAAGAATACCAGAGTAATCGTGACTGGTTCTAGCAGCTCCGGCACTAGCTATATGGGTAGTTGTCAAAATTATGGTCCCTTTTTGGATACCCTAAGTCTCCCTAAGTATTAGGTGCCGTACTAAATGGACCCAAAAAGGGGCCATCATTTAGACAACCACCCATATAGATTAGACACAGACCCATCAGAAAACAACTGCCCACGAAGTGCTTCGCAGTTTGGCCCATGAGCTTGATCTCTACTCCAGCCATCTGAATTTTTCAACACGGCTTGAAGTCTGCAACTTCACTGGAGACTATAGTGACTTGTGAGTGAGTCATTTTGCGTGCTTCACAATTTGGACTTTCTCAGAACGCTGAAGGAGTCTTTAGGCACGGATGACTCCGCAGATAAGTCTTTGGAGTCTGTGCGTTCTGACTTGGGATGCAGATTAAGAAGCAGATCAACAAAAACCAAAGCTCTTAGCTCTCAGTGAAGATCCGCCGCTTCTTGCGTAGCCCTTGCTCTGCTGACGGGGCCTTGGACTCCCCCAGCAGCTTTCGCACCTCTGTCGGGAGAGTGCATGTCTCCAGCATGGTCTTGATGTCACTGTTGTTGGCCGCAACTGTCCTGCATGCCCGTTGCAAAGGCTCCAAACCCTTGAGCATGGCAGCTTCCGCGATGGCAGCAAAGCTATCGACGGTAATCATTTCTGGCAAAATCCCGGCAAGTACCGGCACTATGCGGTCGACCTGCCAGCGATGGGCCAAGTCCAAGGCAATCAGCACCGTCTTGTAGTCAGGCTCGTCACGCGTGGAGCTCGTGTAGAGCATGTCCACGAAGAGCCGCACGCCAGAACCCAACGAATCCTTGACTGAAATCCGCTTGCTCGAGCCTTCCGTCATTGTGGACTTTAGCATGGCCTTCAGAACAGGCGAGGCCGCAACAAGAACAAGGTCGTGAGCCCACACTTCTTCATCTGCTGCTTCGAAGACCACGTTGTGCGTGGAGGTCATCTCGCGAATGGACTCCCACATGTCGACCAAACCTTGACGCACCGAGACGGTGTTCCTTGTGGGCGCACCTCGGGTTAACGCAGCCAAGAAGCGTTCGAAAGCTGTGATTTTAAACGACCAATCCGTGCCCTGAGGTGCTGCTTTCATGGCCGCCAGGAGTTCACAAGCGAAAGAAATGGCACTTCTGTTGTATGGAATCCGAATCATCGTCTTGTCTTTGTCGGAGACTTTCCAAATCCAATGTTCTTGTTCATGAGAATGGGCTTGGAGAGGGTTCGCGCCTGCTTTCACCATCCAGCGTATCATCTCAACCCGTGTCGTCACCCCTGCAAGCGTCTTGTCTGTTTTGCTCCCCACCATCGCTTCAATCAGTGGCAGTATCCTGACATGATCCGGAGTGTACATCAGTACTGTATACTCAACCTTTCACCCGGTCTGTTCCTTTCTGGTTTAGCAGGGATTGCAAGTATGACAGACAACAAAGAAAACTCCAGAATACTCGCCACATTGGGCCAAGGATCTTGGTCGTGCCCCCTGGCACAGACCAGTCGAAATCGCCTGGGGTGATGACCTGCAAGCCTTGCAGATCTGCCACCTGGATCAAGGAAAACACCGCCTCACGGACACCGTCGGACGTGCTAGCAGCCGCCATTAGGCTAGATGGAAGATCGGCGGGGTGAGTCAAGAGACTGAGACATAGGGCTTTGACACAGAATCTCCCTGCTTGATGAAAGCTGCCTCAGTATTTAAAATGCGCGGCGGAGAGAATGATCCGTGCTTCATAACTAAAAACGCACTATGCTTGCTTCTAGGCTGCTGTATATGACAGTATTGAGGAGCCCCAAATTGGACGGAGACGACTAACAGAGTTGAAACCGACGTTCTGAGAAAAGCATCGGTGTGCTGCGCTTGGGCCAAGGTTGTCATAGTGACCAGGGGTCACCAAAAAAACGCAGATACTGTCGGTACAAGCCTGTGATAAAAGCACTTCACTTCGGGAAGATCATTTCAAACCGAAGGACCGAGGGCTTAAAGTATCGCAGTGGTCTAGCTGGCTTGAATACGTTACAAGAGCCCCACTGGAAAGCCTCTCAAGGCTCGGAGGACTCTGAGCTTGCTGATGGTAGGATGAGTCAGTCGCGTCTTCTTGAAACTCTCGGAACTCCGGGTCGGGGCATTTCGGGCTTTAGGGCTCTCGGGTTTTAGGCGATAGGGTTGCAGGTATCAGGGAAGCAGCGGGCTTGATATGTTGCATGTCGCACAACAGCATGGGCAACATGGTGTCGGGACATGGTTTAGGGATGAGGGTCTGGGGGGCTTCAAGCATCGAGATGTGAAGCAGAAGCGACTACAGTATGCTGGTGCTTTTCCGTCGGTCATACACTAAAGGTGTCAGGCTTAGCAGAGCCGGCGAGCCAAACTTGCCATCATTACTCTGTATGACAACTGTTGCGCAGAGGATCCGCCCTGCCCTGAACCAAAATTACATAGCAGGTGTCAGGGAGAGGAAGGTAAACCCACACTCGTATTGACGATGTTGAGTCCTGCCAACGAGCTTCTTCACAAAGGCCTCTTAAATTGGGAGCCTTCGGAACCCCAAACAAAACACTGAGTCTGTAACTAATCATGAAAGAAACATTGGTGTCGGATACTTCCTAATTTGTACTAGCTTGGCTCTGACGGTTACAAAACTAAACAGCGCACTAAACGCACTGCGGCCTTCCAAGACTATACGACAAACAACCGCACCAGGCTGCATGGTAAAGCGAGAACAGCATGTCTTATGGAGTATTCGCAGTCACTAGCGACTAAGCTAAAGTACGAAGTACGAAACGTAACGTCTATTTTCCAAGTGTATGTAAGCAGAGGGTTGCACAGGACTGAAAGACACCCCGTTACAACTCGTATCGGCGTATCGAATCATCACCATCACCCCAGCACTACAAAACAACCACACGCAGAACCCTACATGCTCAGCTTCCCCGATGAAATCCACAGCACCAGCATCAATCATGCAAGCGATCATCAGCACCATCACCATCAACATCATCGTAATCATCATCGCGAACGACGATCAAAACACTGCCAGTGGCAAGTTCAGCAATCAGCAATCACCGACTCATGCAGTACTAGTATAACGGGTATGCCCAACAGAAACCTTGGTCCATCCATCGTAATAACATCTCCGCACCCCTGTGTGATGAATATATATGTATATGTGCAAGAACGATGGGTAGAACGATATGCCTCTGGATCTCTCTTGCAACTACCTTGGCCCCTAGATTAAACCGAGGTCTTAATACATTGGCTTCTGCTTCAGAGCCAATCCGTCCTCCTGCGCTCCATGGGTTAAACCACTCCCCGCCCACAAAGCTTCAGCCAGAAACCCACAACTACCCCTAAGGGTCCATGTACTCATATAGCATATACTTGGGCCCCAATGTACCTAAATAGGGACTACATAAAGGCCAATGTACATACTATATGAGTACATGGACCCTTAGGGTACCTCCGGTGGGGACTCAAAACCCGGATCCCGTCTAGAAGCTGAACCTCGGCTGAACTTCGCAAGCCGGAGGGGGGGGGGGGGCAGTGAAATTCCGCTTCGCTCCGGGATCAGATCAAGGGTTCGATTTGTTCCTTCTTTGTTTAGGGGTTCGGGGTTTTAGGGTTTAGGGTTTAGGTTTAGGGGCTTAGGGTTTAGGGATTTTTTACTCTTGGCCGAGGAATGTGGCCAACAAAACTCAAGTGGAGAGTCGTAATAACAAACATGTTGCACAAGCACTGCCATTCTCTTGACTGCTACTGGTAGGGGGTGACTGTGATCCTTGAAGAGAAATTGTCATGCTGTGGAATACCACACAGCTAAACCATCATGATCATTCGCTGTTGTTTAAGCAAGAAAACAGTAGGATGCTGCAACACCGATTCAAAGAGCAGATTGAACAACACCATGATCCAAATGCGCCGCTTTTTGGCCCATGTGCGCGATCTCTGCACCAGCCATGTGAAACGCTGCAACATGACTTGCAGTCGGGAACTTCACTGCCAACATGAAACTAGGCACGAAGGGCTTCAGGATTCCGCCTTTAACAGGCTTCGAACGTCCACTAGAGCTTCCTCAGAAGCACAGAATGCCCGACGCTGGCATCTCTAATTCGCCAAATCGCTGAAGGAGATAGAGCCGGACGGGATATCTCTGGGCATGAAAAGAAAATCAAATAAGCACTATGTGTATGTGTATTGTTATATATGTATACTACTGTATACTGATGATTATATTATACTTACGCTTGAAGTACTGATACGTACTGAGAACGTGCTGCGGTGCTGAAAGGACGAAGGAAGTTAGCAGTCCTGCGCATTCAGGGACTTAGCATGCAGCGAAGGTTCGCCGCCTCTTGCGCTGTTTGTGCTCTGCCGGGGCGTCGGGCTCTCCCAGCAGCTTCAGCACCTCTGCAGGAAGTGTGCGCTTCTTTACCATAGTCTTGACCTTGCTGTTGCTGGTCCCAAAGGTCCTGCATGCCCGCTGCAACGGCTCCAAACCCTTGAGCATTGCAGCTTCTGCGATGGCCACAAAACTGTCGATGCTGATCATCTCCCGGAGCATCCCTTGAACCACTGACACTACACCGTTCACCTGCCATCGATGGGCCAAGTCTAAGGCAACCAATACCGTCTTGTAGTCAGGGTCATCACGCGTGGAGCTCGTGTAGACCATGTCCACGAACAGCCGAACAGCACCACCCGAGGAGTCCTTGACAAGAATCCGCTTGCTCGAGCCTTCCTTCATGGTCGACTCCAACATGGCCTTTAGAACAGGCGAGGCGGCGACGAGAACGAGGTCGTGAGCCGATACTTCTTCATCCGCCGTTTCAAAGATCACGTTGTGCGTGGAAGTCATCTCCCGCATGGACTCCCACGTGTCCACGACACTCTGAGGCAATGAAATGGTTGGCATAGACTGCGGAGCCGCACTGATGGTCAAGGCTTGTAAACAGCTCCTGAAAGCACCGATGCGACCAGACCAGTCCGTGCCGCTCGGGGCTCCTTGCAGCGTCGCCAGATGTTCACAAGCAAAAGAAATGGCACTATTCCCCCTGTATGCAGTAGAAACGAAGGTCTTGGCCTTATCGGCGCTCTTCCAACATTCACAGCACGCAGAGCTTGAATCGTTGACTTGGAGCGGATTGGCCCCTTCCTTGATCATCCACTCAATCATCTGCACTCGCGTCTCCAACTCAGCAAGAAACCTGGCCCCACTGCCAGCAGTCATCGCCGCCTCAAGTGGCAACATCCTCGGACATTGTGGTGATGCTCTTGGCAAGCCAACAAATCCTTTCCATCCCTTCCTGTCTGGGACTCATGTTCAATATATAAACAAGTATGTCTGTCTCTCTGTCTGTCTGCCTGCCTGCCTGTCCGCCTGTCCGTCGGTCCGTCCGTCTCTGCCGACCTCTATGTGTGAACATGTATACACACATATATATATATATATATAGATAGATATGTATATATATATATATATATATATATATATATATATATAGATATAGATATAAAGATTGTGTACATGTATGTGTATGCATGTATCTACGTAGGTATGTATGTGTATATGTGTTTGTGGACGTGTACGTGTATATGTACGTGTATGTGTATGTAGATGTATATGTATGTATATTTATGCATGCATGGATGGATGGATGGATGGATGGAGGGATGGATGAACGTATCAACGGATGTAGTGTATGTATGCATATGCACCGAAAACCACAAAACATCGATCAAGGATCTTCAAAGGGCCAATTTCTCCAGACCAGTCAAAGGTATTTGGGGTAATTCTCTGCAAAGCGTGAAGGTCAGCCACTCGGATCAAGCCATAGATGGCATCCCGGAGCCCGTGGGTCTTGCTTGATGCGGCCATTACCACAGCCGATGCCGCGACGAAGAGTCGTTGGAATCTCGGTCCGTGCTGTGTGTGTGAGCTCTGTATAACGAAACATACAAGCATAAAGCGTCTGCGGTCACTTAGGATGGCCTGACACAAGGCGCGACTTAATCTTGCAGATGCTTGCAATTCCCTGCCCGGGAGGCCCCGAAGACTCGACGTGAACTGGCTGCAAGACTGCTGATGGGGTAGGGTCCTAGGTCAAGAGGTGTCGGCCCTCGTGGTGCTACTGTATCTAGGCCCTTGGCAAGCATCGCAACTCCCAATACAGCTTGATCCAGCATGAACTGCAACAACTCACGCGTCATCAAGTCACCAGGACGCAGTGTCGAGTGCCAAAACAGCCTTGATTTAACCAAAGGCTCCATGTAGCTATAGGCTATATAGTATATACCCTGATTGGCCCTGAAGTACCCCTTTACGAAACACTTTAAGGCTTATGTATATACTATATGCGTACGAGGAGCCTTAGGGTTAGTGAGTTCGCCATTCAGCGCCTGCAGCCGCATATGGACTTGCTGAGCCGGACACTTCCAGCTTCGTTGCGAGCCGTGAAAGTACCAAACGCCTGATAGCCAGAGACTGGGGAGCCTGGTTTCGATTAGGTTCAGACAACACAGGCCGACAACGATTGCCAGTACAATTCCTCAGGGGTTCCCAGTATCATCAGCTATCTACCAGGGAGGCCCTATTCTAATTTTTAAGAAACCTACATTATAACATAAAGTCCTGTTAATTTACATATATAAGACCCTATACTATACCGCCTGATAAAGGGATCCTCTTCCACAATTTGAGGCGCCGTCAACAAGGCTTTTTTTTGGAGGGCCTCTTTCCACAGTAATGTAGGGGACTTAAGGATTACAATGTTTTTGGGAGGGCGTGGGGTAAATTAAAGTATAATTGTGATAAGAAGCCCCCAAAAAGTTCAAGCCCTTATACTATCTGTAGAGAGACGCGAAAGAGGCAGGCTTCTGTAGCAGTGAGTTTAGGGTTTAGGGTCTGCGATATTGTCGAATACAGCCCTGAGCGATGGCCTTTGACGGCGCAGCAAGTGCGCTACCCTGCGGTTGCAGGGCAAACCTTGGCCACGGAGTGAAGTGTGCAAGTCGAGGGAACGCGAGCTTGGGGACTCAGGGCCGTAGAGTAATGCAGGGGTTGGCGGTTCTTACGATTTAGGGCTGGGGGCCTTTTATTGCACTTTGAGTAAAAAGTGCAGGGTTCGCGGAATCGGATTGCAGCCCTGGGCATGCCTGTTGAGATGCTGTCCCTTTTGTGGGATCGTGGTTAACGGCTAAAATCCAAATGCCTGGGCATGGCCCACAGCCAATCGGCAAGTCCTTCCCGACCCAAACATAAAGTTGCCAGACGTCCGAGCTTGTGGGGTCTTGTTAAGACCGCAGAGAAAGAAACCATATTTCCTGTAGATCCCTATATTGGTAACTTAGATTAGAATTCTTCAAAAGAACCCAATCTTGCCCCACTCTGCAGGTCCAAAAGACCCATCACTTAGGCACATGAGTCTCGGATACTAGCCATGTAGGTCCGTAGTTGGCGAGGATCTGATTTTTAGTGGGGCATGGGACTATATACTGTCGTGAGACTCGGACCGTCGGAAGGAAGCCCTTGCTTGGAACAGCTGGATCGGCCGGCTTGGTGGGCTGCGGATTGTTGAAAAGTTTGGTTAAAGTGCCAACATCTGAAGCAGAAAGGAATGCACTAACCAATGCAAGCCTCTCCTCCGTTCGAGACTACTGCCGAGAGCTAAGTTTTGGCTTAGGGTTTATGTATCGGGTCATGAGTCAAGTATCTGGACACTGGCAGTAAATGCATGCAAAAAGCACATCGAACGCGCTCGAAGCCTCATGTGGGTCTAGATTTTGGAGCTTTCCGCACATCTCACTGATTAATGATTGGGGTTCAGAATCGTGTGCACTCTTGGCTACGGTAGTTGTGCTTCAAACTCCGAACTCGCATCCCCAACCCCAGCCGGAGGTTCTCCGACGCTATCCCGCATGCAAGGCCCAATTACGAATGAAGCGCACCATACACACACGACCAAATTTGGCTCCCCTACATCGCCTTAAAACCTTGATCTTATGGAATTATGTGCCGCTGTGATGAATAATCTTCCACGTCTTTCACGTGCAAAAATGCCGCATGTATACTTGAGGCCCGGACGTCTGTGCTGTAAGCGCCAGGAGGCTCGCAAAGGATCTGGGATTCTCCTGCGAAAGGGGACAGCTCTTGTTGGGATTGAGGTTTAGAGTTTACCTATAGTCTCCATTGTAGTTCCTTTCTTGGTTTAGCCAATTATAGATTTAAGATCCTATAAGGCAACCCCAAAAAACCACAGGAACTACCATGGAGACTACAGGTAAGCTTAGGGCTTAGGGTTTATGGCTTGGGGTTTTGGAGCTTTAGTTCAGGGCCCCAGGTCTCCCTTGCATCTTTCTTTCAGCTTTCCAGGCTCCAAGGTGTTTAGGGTTTAGGGGTTTAGGGTTTAGGGGTTTAAGGTTTATAAGGGTTTAGGGGTTTAGGGGTCTAGACAAAGTACGACATCTCGTGGAACTTGTCGTTATCTCGACGTATCTCCAGCATGTCTGCATGCTCCATCTTCGGGGGTAACTAGCAGGGCAAGGGAAGAACCAGAACCCTCCAACTCCAGCGGAAGATCGAAGCGCGTGCCATGGTTGCTCTGCTCTTGATGCACCTTTATAAGCTTCATGCTACTTCCCACCGAACTTCGACACTATAAACCCCCAACTGAACCAGACAGGAGCTTGGCACGAAGGAGGCTCTGCAATTAGTAAGAAGCCTTATAGAGTAGTTGCATGAACGTGTTTCTAATGTGAAAAGGCGGTGGAGTGGTTGTGGTGCGGACGAACAGGTGATGTTAGGGCGTGTGGGTAAGGACTGACAGCTGGCTCGTCAGTCCCACTGGTGGCAAAGATTTAGGCTTTAGGGTGTTTAAACTAAAGGCAAATTCAATGGAACTCGTGGCCGACTGTTGCAGCTTCCTGTAGCCCGAACCAAAGAATATACCGGCATAGAAGCCCATAGGGTCCTAGGTACCTAGATAGTAGAATGTAGGGTTTCAACATTATGATTTGGGGAAGTATCTCCCATAACAGTACCTAGGATCCTTTGGGAAGAGCAAATGCTTTCGCTGCCTGGGAACGCCGAATAACTGCTTCCCTCCCGAAACACGACTTCGGGTTTGTACTGAAGCCTCAACATGACTCAGCTTCAGAAAGCAGCACAACCCCCATAACTGCATCGGTCGGTCCATAAGCCGTCCCATCTTCTGCATGCTCTGGTGGAGCTGGTAGGTCAAGCCTCAAGCCGCAAGAAGGACAGGTGGGTGCTTTATGGTTTGAGGTTCGGGCTTTCTGGCTTTAAACTGTAGGACTGCCGCACTAAGCCTTAAAAACCCACCCCCTGTCGTGGGCCATCGAGAGTTCACGAGAGCCCACAGCTCGATTCGAGAACCCGAAAGCAAGGTTTCGGGGGTGCCAGCATGGGGGAAGGTTTAGGATTAATTGAAGACTGTAGGCATCTGTGTCACAATCCCAAAACCCTTAGCCCGAAATTGTAGGCCCTCACCCAGAATCTCTTCTGTCGGATCTATTCTGAAGGGTCATACCCTACCTTCTGGTTGGAACAGATCCTAGATACTCAAAACAGGGTAGGATTCTGAACCTCGCGTTTCTAGTAGTTGGCGCAGACCGGATGGTACAGGGAGGGATGAAGGAACATAGTTCAGGGTTCGGGGAGCTCAAGGTGATAAACTTGCGGCCTACAGGAAAGATCTGTAATCGCTCGGGGCGACAGGTTTAAAGGAACATTTAGTTGCTACCGTTGACAGACGTGATTTTCACGCATGTTCTCTCGTCGTCACTCATCTTGTAGCTAATTCGGAATCACTTCGCCAGCCGCGCTTTGGCAGCCACTCCTGCAATAGCGCCGAGACAAAGCCTTGGCTCATGAGGAACTGGAAACACTCATTTTGTGTGCTAGGGTCAGGCTTCATTGTAGAAGTTTCCCCGAACCCTCGGTTTGTCAGTTTCAGACTACTGTACCGGGGTGATACGTACGGATGCAACTGCTCCATGAATTGAGCTACTCACAGGAAGTGGCGCCATCCGGAACCGCAAACCCATGTGGGTGGTTGTCAAATTTATGGTCCCTTTTTGGGTCCTTATTATAATACGGCACCCAATATTTAGGGTACCCAAAGAGGGACCATAATTTTGACAACCACCCATCTTGCGGTCAGTCAGTGGCAATGGATCAGCATCTCGTAAACACGAGCCCCATATTTATGAAACCTGCATCTCAGTGGCCATAAACTCACTCCTAGATACTCCGTGGCCGAATCAGACCCTCCAAACGAAGGTGACGGCCTAAATACTAGACCACTTGTTGCTCCGGCTTCTGTTTCGTTCCTGTAGCTTCTTGTCCTATCGCTGAGGAACCCGTCAAAGCTCAAGGTTTCAAACATCCCGCACGTTGCCCACACCTTTCCTGCCCAGATGCCCCAGCGTCATGCCGAGAAGAAACTCCTGTGCCGAGCGGAGGGTGTCTACAGCCAGGAATCTAAGCCTTAAGGGGTTCAGGGTTGGGGCTTTGCGACTTCGGGTATGAGGCTGTGGAAGGGCACCACCAAAGCCAGAATAGCAAAAATACGCGACATCCACACAACTCCAATCATACATGCAACACCACACACCGCCTTTCTGGCTATATCTGTTTGTCTACTTATATGTATCTATCTATCTACATATCTGTATAACATATATACATAGATACATTTGATGATCTATACATACTCGATTGTGTACCTCCGGGGGCCACAAACTAGTCTGCGCCTTGGACAACTTCGGCCTTGCCACTGCGCTCCCGACCTCAGGTGATCGTGGCTTCGAGGAATTCTGCGATTTGCCCCTGTTGGGTACCTGGACTCCAAAAGTATGTAGAATAATAGCCTTTCATAGGTTTTGGGTCATCATTTTACCTATTTTTTCGGGGGGGGGTTAGGTAAGGGTTCAGCATGTTGGGTTTAGGGCTTAGCGGTTGTGTGATCGTGGTTTTGAATGAGGAAACCCTACCTGCGGAAGATTTTGGGTTCCTGGTCATGAGTCGGTTGTGTAACCCAAAAACCCTGAATCCTTTCAACTGATTCAGCAAGGCAAACATACTTGGAGGATCATGGGACTTAGTAAGTAAGGTTATAAGTACCTTAATTGGGGTTATTATAAGTAGTTATAAGTATGGTTACCCTAATTATGACCCTAGTTCCTGAGTCCCATGATACTTTAAGTACTGGGCTTGGAGCTTAGGGAGTCCATTTTGTTCAGTTCGCGGTGTAGAGAATCCCGCAGTTGGGCAAAACTCAAGGAACCATTAGGGGCTTCACGTTGCTGGCAGGAATACTCTTTCCGATAGCTTGGGTTCAAGGCACGCATCGGTCTACAGCAACTTAAACTCAGATGATATGATGAGGACCCTTGGAGAAGGTATGTGCGCACCCATCCTTTCCCATGAGAAGGCCTCAGCTATGTGAAGACCTGTCTACTCTACAAGTGCCAGGGGAGACGGTATGCACAGTTGGCAGTTTATGGCGGCTTAAGACTGAAAAGGGGTTCACGCTTCAAACCCGGCAGCTGTCAAAACGAAAACCTTTAGGAACCCCAAGGAATCTCATACATGCCTGAACCACTCTCTGCGGCCAGTTCGAACTTTCAGAAACTCCAACCCAATGCAAACGTGACTGACAAGTTTCCACTCGTGCGTCTGTGTGTGTGTGTGTGTGTGTGCGTGTGTTGGGGTGTGTGTTAGGGTGTTTGTGTGTGTGTATATATATACACATATACATATACTGATATCTGCATACGCACACGCCAAAGGACTACACATGTTTTCGTTTCTTTACTGTCCGTGATATCCACACAACAACCCTCAACCCTACTGAAACCCTAAACTAAACCCTAAAACCCACACATCCTAAAACCCCTAATTAAACCCCAAACCCCTAAAACCCCTAAACCCCCTAAAACTCCGAAAACCCCTCAAACTCCTAAAACCCCTAAAACCCCAAAAGGGGTCCAAAGCCAAAGCAGCCCGAAGCTTCGCGGCCTCGATCTCAGGGCTGGCCTCCACTTTGGGTTGGGAATCGCGCCTATAGGGCCTTCCTACACCCTCCAAACCATAAGAAAAACTAGGTTGCTTGGGAAAACCAGGTTTTAAGGTAAAGAACGCGGTTCTGTGTTTTTCGGGAATTGTTGGGGGTTGTTCTGTTGAACATCACTGGCATGATTCGGCAATCGAAGTTGTGTTTCCTTGCATTGCACTTAATGAGAAGCTCGCTCCACGATTGTTTTGGGCTCGACAAAGCCTGGCTGCTGTAGGTTGGGTTTAGGGATTTAGAGGGTTTCGGGTTTAGGGTTTTAAGGTTTAGGGGTTTGGGGTTTCAAGGTTTAGGGGTTTGGGGTTTCAAGGTTTAGGGTTTTTTCGTTTTGGGGCTTAATGCGGGTGTCGGTTTAGGAATATAGGCTGCTTTAATGCGTCGGCTCGGGGGCTAATTCCGAATCCGAGTAAAATTTTTGGGGTACTAATTAATGCTTTTTTTTTGGGGCTGGGGTGATTTTTTGGTGGCGGGGCTGTGCTATTTGCTGATGGTCAATCTTAAGGCAGCCACGACCTAAACCCCCACCCAAACCACCACCCAACCCTAAAACCCTGGCCCTGAAGCCCGAAAATCTCTTGCAGAATTGTTTCGCTTATTGGGGCGTCAGGAATGGGACTCTGTACTACTACTGTACTACTATTGTACTATTGTACTGCTACTGTATGCCTTGCTTATTGGGGGGGGCTGCTAGGGTGAACCGCCGAATTGGGGATTGGACCCTAGCTCAAAAGAGGCCTCTCCAGTACTAAAGTTTGTATAAAAAATTCAATTTTGGGTCCAATCTGGACCGACCCCCCTTTGGGAAGGGTTTAGGGCTTAGGGTTTAGGGTTTGTTAGGGTTTAGGAGTTTAGGGTTCGTTAGGGTTTAGGGTTTGTTAGGGTTTAGGGTTCAGGGTTTAGGGTTCAGGGTTTCAGGCGCTGGCTTTATGCTTTGCTTATTGGTATTATTTCTGTACTATTACTGTATTACTACTGTACTACTGTACTATTGTTGTACTACTACTGTACTACTAGTGTACTAATGTACTACTATTGTACTACCAATGTACTATTACTGTACTACTATTGTACTACTGTACTACTATCGTATTACTACTGTACTACTATTGTACTACCACTGTACTACTGTTGTATTACTATTGTACTACTGCACTACTAGTGTACTACTACTGTACTACTATTGTACTACGGTACTATAATCGTACTACTACTGTACTACTACTGTACTACTATTGTGCTACTATTGTACTACTGTACTATTATTGTACTACCACTGTACTACTGTTTTGTTACTATTGTACTACTGCACTATTATTGTACTACTACTGTACTACTACTGTACTACTATTGTATTACTGTCCTATTATCGTACTACTACTGTACTACTACTACTACTACTACTACTACTACTACTACTACTACTACTACTACTACTACTACTACTACTGTACTACTATTGTGCTACTATTGTACTACTGTACTATTATTGTACTACTACTGTACTACTGTTGTACTACCACTGTACTACTGTTGTATTACTATTGTACTACTGCACTATTATTGTACTACTATTGTACTACTACTGTATTATTTCTACTGTACTACTATTGTACTACTGTACTATTATTGTACCGCACAAAGCTTCAGACGTGGTCGATTGCGGGTGGGAGTGTGTGAGTGTAGGTTAATTACGGAGGCAAAAGTGTTCAAAATGAAGGGTTTTTAATCTTGGTAGTAGTCTTGGAGTGATCGGGGCTTGGTTTCCAGCGTTTGGTGATCCCCAGACCCCCCCCGACCCCCGACCGCGCATTCGCGCAGAACCGCAGACCCTGGATTGAAGCCAACCCCCCAAACCCCGGCACCTCCCAATTCCCTGCCACTCAGACCCCTGACCCCTGTCCGGCTCCACTTTAAATAGAATTTGTTGTTTTGGTCGGGGGGGGGGGGGGGGGGTACCCCACTATTAAACCGACACCCACATTAGGGTCTTTAGGGTTTAGGGTTTTTATGGTCCAGGGCTTAGGGTTTAAAGGCACAGGGTTCTGTGCAGGGGGTAGGGTTCAGGGTCTACTTGGAGGATCATGGGACGTAGCAAGTAAGGTTGGGCAGAACCTTAATTTTATCGGGACTCTGTGTAACTATATGTCGTGTAGCCACTTTATGAATCCCACGATCCCTTACGTAAGGTTGAAAAGGCACAGGGTGCTTGCAAGGGTTGCCCTAAGGTTCTACTAGGGATCCATGCTCAAAATATGTATCCTTGAAGATTTCTGTTCAGGTTCCATAAGGGACTCCTTGTTGGAATCTTTACCTTTCAAGGGGTGCTTTCAGGGTTTTACACGGGATTCAGGGTTACACCGGGCCCCTTGAAGGATTCCTCTGACGGTCCATATCTGTAGATGTTCCATGAAGGGTATTATGAGGGATAAGCGGATCCATGTTCTTGATGGGGGTGTGTTCGCGGTCCAGTCTTGGGCTGTGGATTTGGTGTTGGGGAGCTGTAAGGTATTGGCGGGCAGGGCTTGGGGTCTGAGGGTGTTGGGTGTACTTGGAGGATCATGGGACTTAGTAAGTAAGGTTATACGTACCGTAATTGGGGTTATAAGTAGTTATAAGTATAGTTACCCTAATTCTAACCTTAGTTACTAAGTCCCATGATCCTTTCAGTAGGGTTTGGACATGAACTTCAAACCCAGGCAAGGTTCACATACCGCTTGTGCGGTCATGTGGTCAAGGGTGCTGGTTAGTGATATACTCCTGTCGCGCGTACTGGCAGGGAAAGGGTCACAGTGTATGGCCCTGTATGGCTTACACTTCAGGTTTAGCAGCTCAACTATCTCTTTTTCTTGCGTTCATGCTGCTTGGAAGTTTGAAGACCCGATTATCAAGGGCGAGTGTTTTTCACCCATACTAATTGGGGTGTATTAGGGGTGTCTGGCTTTTCTGAATTTCGAGCTCCCCGTTCCAAACTCTATTCAAACCCTGCGCACGTAGCCCGAGGTCCAAAGCCCCACAAGCCAAACTCGCTTCTCTATGGACCCAATTCCTCGGCTCCCTATACTACACCCCTACATCCCTGATTGTAACCCTTATAGAATTTCTACTTTCTAGCAATCCCACTGTAACCTGAAATCAACCTATTGTCTCCATTGTAGGGGATTACACTGTTGGATCCCTAATATATGATATAGTTGAGTAAATGGAAGAAAGGAACTACAATGGAGACTATACCTAGACCTCCCAACAACCAGTTAATATACCCTAAATACCACTATTAAGGACCATAAGGGCCCATTAAAGGGCCATTGAAAAGTCCTGGTAGGAAGAGCTCCCTGATTGCTTGGCCCTTGGCCTCCTTGACCTTCACAGCTGTGGGATAGAAGCCGATCCTCGGCAACCGCATCTCCAAACGAAGCAAAGCCCTGTCTAAGGCTTTCAGCCTTTCAGGGGCGAAGCCTTACAAACCGTACCCTAAGGGTCCAAGTGGTCCTTATTTATGGTTTTTGATACCTAGAAAGGCTATAAGAGGGAGTACTTGGACATGTAGGGTTATTGATTACTGAACTCTGTATTCCTGTTTAGGCTTTGGGGTTTAGGGTTTACGCTGCAGGGCTCAGGCTTTAGGGTTCCTTCATGTCTTAGTAGGGTATTCAGCACCGCGGCCGGAGTCCTGAAGATTTCAGCCTGAGACAAGCAGTAGGTACCGATAGCAAGGTGAACACTCGATGCTGAAGAGCTCCGCAGATACGTCCGGATAGTTCTCAGGATGTCAGATACTACAAAGGCCCAGAACCCCCGGGAGGATCCAAAAAGTAGATCCCTTAATGGGGTTCCGATTAAGTACCCTTAGTAGTATAGGGCCCCAAGTTAGGGGATCTACTTTCTGGGGTTCTGGGGGATGCTCTCAAAAGAACTCCCTGCCCTCCTCCACACGCGCCTTCCTCGACCAGCTTCGCTGTTTACGGTTGCGGGCTTACTTGGAGGATCATGGGACTTAGTAAGTAACTGGCTATAAGTACCTTAACCCAATTATAAGTAGTTATAGGTATAGTTACCCTAACTGTAACCCTAGTTACTAAGACCCATGAGCCTTTAAGTAGGAATATATACCATGGGTTTACGCTTAAAGGGGCTCTAGAAGGGACGCCTCCGGGTCTGAAAACTTTGTGATTTTGTTTCGTTCCACAGATGTGCGAAGCGGAGCCGCTGCTTGTCGATGTCACCGAGAAGTGGATCTACACCTGAAGCGTTCAAGGGCTTAGGGTTTAGGGACTATAGGGAACACAAGAACCAGACGTTCTATAGGTGGTTTCGTGTGCTTGCGCCCTAAATGGATTTTTACAAGAATCGTTGTGTGTGGCTCCATCTCCTCAGGCAGCCTGGCTCTGCAATGCTTTGGATCATAGTGCAGGAGTGCTCCGAACAGGCTGCCATGGCAGAACTGAACCTGGCTTACAGCAGAATAAGAACCCAAACAGGGCACCTAATATAGGGGCCTTAGCAATTAGAATAGGGTTTTGGGGCCCATTATACTATAGTCATAATAAGGAATCCCCAAAATAGTATAAGTAATTGTTGAGGCCCCTACATTAACTATAAGCAAGGCAGCCCACATAGAACCTCAACCCATGAGACCGGAATGTCAGCCACCTCATCCAAAAAGCAGATTCGCTTTTTTGGCTCTTCCATACACTCAACCGCAGCCCCTAAGCCGCAAAGCCCAAATACAAACAAGAACAGACGCTAAATTGCCAAACCCGGCCCCAAACCCTACAGACCCTACAAACCAACACCCTAACCCCTCGACTTTAAATCCATGTACCCTCACCGTTATCCTCAAGAGGCCCTGTAGACCCCTTAAAGGAACCTATATAATCCCTTGTAGACTCCCCCCATAAGGGAACCCTTGAGACCCATTAATTCAGGAACCCTCCAGTCTCCAACCTCGATCGTCGATGTAGAAATCTGCCACCGGCTTGCCGAAGTGGAGCTCGTTGTACCTCGGGCGGCTTTGGGGGGTGTTAGGGTAATAGGGTTCGGTTGTTGGGGTCCAAGGGTTTAGGGGTTTAGGACACTAGGGCGATGTTTGGTGGTTCATCGCAGTAGTGTTGGGGTGCAAGGCGTTAGGGTGCTGGGGTTTCAGGGTTGAGGGCTTTAAGTTTGAGGCTCCGAACCAGGGAGATCCGATGCGTGCAGAGTCTAAGGGTTTTGTGGCTTCTTGACATTTAACTGGCAACACAGGGGTGGGGCAAGGATTAGTATCGGTTTTCGTGTTTCGGGTTGAGGCCTTTAGGGCCCAAGGGGTCGAATGTTGCATGTGAAAAATTATGCATGAACAAATGTAGGGCGTTGGGGTCCAAGGCTATGTAAAATCACTTCAAGCAGGGTTCGAGACGGCAGGTCCAAGGATTCACCATGATATTCTGGCCTGCTTGAGGCAAGCGCAAGCTCATGCCTTCAATGCAGCAGACGCCTTACAGGGTAAAATCGGATCTGCATCCCATGCAAATACAAAGCTCCACAGAAGCTCTGAAGTGGATGGTTCCGCGTGCCGCAATTGGGTGTGAAATAGCAGAAAGTAAGTTACCTAGACTCTAAACCTACCCGTCGGACCCTTAATTGTAGTAGTAGTAGTAGTAGTAGTAGTAGTAGTAGTAGTAGTAGTAGTAGTAGTAGTGGTAGTAGTGGTGGTAGTAGTAGTAATAATAGTAGTAGTTGTTGTTGTCTGAGCAAGATCCTGTAAGTGAGCTAAGGGTCTCCACGCCGAGGCGGCGCAGGGCATCAAGGAGCTCTGCCCCACGCTCCGCTGGACGTTCCTGTAGTTTTCCTAAACCCTAGACCCTAAACCCCTAAACCCTAGACCCTAAACCCCTAAAACCCTAAACCGGATCTATGGGGCTGTAAGGCTTGGTGATTCGGCGATTAACTGGGGTTCAGAGCCCAGGGCTTTGGATGGTAGTAGTGGCTTCGAAACATGGAGACGAGGATGACACGACCAAAAGCAGAACATGAGAGGTAAAACAGTTACTGGTGTGTATGTGTGTGTGTGTGTGTGTTTGACACACACACACATACATGTAAAGTATGTGTATATATATATATATGTAGACATACATGTGTATATGTATGTATGTACATATATGCACATGCACACGCGGCATACTTGCACATACAGTCACAGGTGGATTAAAGAGATACAGATAGACATTGCTGATGAGAAGGCGCAATGAAGATCGCGGTGTGTGTGTGTGTGTTGAAGAGGTCCAGGTTTTAAGGGTGAGTGTCCCGGCCTGGCGGCTTCGAATTGAAATCTGCCGCTTTTGGTCGGGACTTCGGGCTTAAGGCCCTGGGTGTCGGGTTGGTTTACAGTAGCAGCCCAAAAGTTGGAAACCCCATAGCCTCAATCCTTAAGAGCAATGTATAGGGAACCCTAGCCTAGCACTATTTGCCTTTAACCTGGTTTCCAACTTCATGGGGTCTCCTCCAATTAAGCTTTAAAGGAACCCTTAAAGGAACCCTGAAACCTACACCCTTAAAGGAACCCTGTAGGGTGCTCCAGGCGGATTCGAGGGGCTTGTCTTCGCTGGATTGCTTTAGATGCTCCTGTATCTGCCAGTCTGCATGTACGACCTTCCCAGTCGACATGCAGGCTCAGAAAATGAGAGAACCGACGACAAAGCGCTCTACCTATCTATCCAACTGTATTTAAAGATTTACATGTTTGTATCAACGTATCTGTATCTATCTATCTACCTCTCCGAAAACTACCTGTCGATCTACCTATCTATCTGTCTAACAAAATATGAGTATATATGTATGTACAAAAATTGTATTGAAGGTGGGGGCTTCTCTGCTTACCTACGTCGACAACAACACGCCCAATAACCTTACTCATGCAGAGCCCTTAAGAACCCTCGGCCGTGAACACGACACTCTTAGCCCTGACTGCCGATGTCTTGCGCAGGCTTTGGACCGGAAACAGCCCCCAGCCTAGACCCCCAACCTTCGAACTCGCCTTCGGCCAATCCGAGGCCGAGTGTCAGTCCAGATGAGGATGTGGTGGCCTTGAGCCTCCCGATCCGATAACTCCACAAACCGTAAACCCGCCCTAAGCCTTCAATATAGCCAGCCTGAAGTAATCCTCTGAATAGGGTTCGGGGTACGTGTTGTACTATCATTCAAAGAGGAACCTTGAGGAACAGTCAGGCTTCTGCGTTTACCAGGTCTTCGGCTCGAAACTCTAAGCTCTCCCAGGCGCGTTGCAGTTCATGGCCGTCAGACATGCCCCTCGGGGATCTAAGGACTCATATATTAAGGCTTTTGGGCCCAAAGACCCTACTATACAAGGCTCTTGGGCCATTTTGATCCCCAGGGGCAGAAGGACTGCAGTTCATTCGGAGAGCCACCCTGCGTGTCAATCTCAAGGTGCACCATCTCCAGCCGAAAGCATGGACAGCACGAACTCTGACTTTCACTGAATCATGTAGAAGAGCCTCGCTGTGATTTCGCACAAAGGAAGAGGATATACCAACATTGACACCGCGTCTGCTGAAAATACCGACCCGACTGACCCTCTCGAGCTGTGACGAAGATTCTTTGAAGACCGGACACCTCAACCAAATCCCCAAAACCCTGTATATACGTGAGGACCTAAGGACCTGAGCCGTACAGAGCAAAACCGCAATCCTAAACCCCAAGCCCCTGAACCCTAAACCCGATTTAGATTCCTTATAAGGAGCCCTACAGGAACCCGTTAAAGGAACCCCAGAGATGCCTTTTAAGGAACCCTAAACCCTACACCGCAGGGTGCCTTCAGTCGTCTCAGGAGCTTCACGTTCCTTTCCTTGAAACGAGTGGACTTGCGGGCTTTTGACTACTTGGAGGTTCATGGGTAGTTGCCAAGAGAATCCACATATACTAGCATTATGGAATCAGTTATTCACACACACACACACACACACACCAGCACCAAACTGGAAATATAAGGGCCTTAATAGAGATTTGTTGGGGGTATGTTGTGCTGTATTCATGATAAGGAACCCCCCAAAATAGTATAGGTATTCATTTGTGACCCTATACAAGTAGTACAGGGCCTGCAGGGTGTAAAGGTTTGGCCACAGGGTTTAAGGCTCAGGTCTGGAGGTTGGTGACCCCATGTCAAAGGCAGTACCCAGATGCCCCATAGTAGTTCCTTCTCGGAGTTCATATATAGAACCCTATAAGGTAATCCCACAAAGGAACTACGATGGGGCCTCTGGGTAAGTTACTCTCGCACCCCCGATCTCGCAATAATGGCTATGCAAAGTTGTGCTGCCTTTTCTCGAGGTCTATATAGAACTTACGGACTTAGGGTTTGTTTGGCATGAACCTTACGCTAGGCCCGATTATTGCTGTGCTGCTTCACGATCCCCTCGTCTTGGTCAACGACGGACCAATGACTCAGCAATAGACCTACATTTACCACTAGCCACATCCTATGCCTGATAACCTAAGCCTCCCGGCCACCCGAAATCCTCAACTCGACTGTAAAACCATGTCACACAGCATCAAGCGACGCCGCATCGTCCCTAGTTGAACTATAAGCCCTGCCTAGACCCCCCAAAAGTAGATAAAATAATGGCCCGAAACCTATTAAAAGCTATTATTATTATTACTAATATTATTATTATTACTATTATTATTATTATTCTACATACTTTTAGGGTCCAGGTGAGCTAAACGATCCTCAAGCCCTTGACTTCTGCCTTTCGATTCTGGAGCCCATAACTCAACCATTCAGCACTCATAAATTCTTGTCGCACAAACCCTGAAACCAAACCTTAAACCGCAAATCTTATTAACCAACCCGAGACTCTAAACCCCAAAAAACCCTGACCCGGACCCGACAAGTACGTAGAATAGTAGCCTTTAAAAGGTATTGGACCATTATTTTACCTACTTTGGGGGGTTTAGGGAACCCCGAACTGGAAACCCTGCGCCCAAAAAAAAGGCAGCGAAGCTGCGATAGCCCGGCAACTTCTGAGGTCGCCCTCCTCCTGTGGGGCTGTCAGCAGCGTGCCTTGAGGCCCCAGACAATGCCGTTGTTTTAAGGTTTACGGTTTAGGGTTTGTAAGGACTAAGGATCTTAGTTTAAGGGTTAAAGGTTTGGGTTAAGTGTCGCGTCTCTTCGGGTTCAATACTCTTTAACATGGAACTTCCCTTTGTGTTGAGAGGCATTATAGTGGGGCCCAGGACTGGAGGACTGAGGTGTGGGGTGGTTTAGGGGCTACTGTAAGGGCCTTAATAACTAGAATAGGGTTTTGGGGCCCATCATACTACAACTATGACGAGGAACCCACAGAATAGTATAGGTAATAGTTTAGGCCCCTATATTAGGGTTTAGGGTTATGGGATCGGGTGATTGAGGATTTGGGGCAGGATTGGCGTAATGATCTTGAGCCCCTGCTTGATGGACTATGGTGAAACAGGCCGGTAGTCTCTACATCTGTTCCTAATACTGCCGATTGTAGCCCTGACAAGGGTCCCTTCATACAGCCCCTTAAAGCAGAAACTCCAAGTAAAGAGACCACCGACCTAAGGCTATGGGCACATCCAAGCATTGGAACGAGTGTGGTCAACCTCTGTGTACATGGTTGCAACCACATGCAATGTACCACTACGCGTGCTTGTCCGTTACATTCACCCATAATGGGCTCTTGTTCAGGAACTTAGAATGAGCTACCTCCAGGGATCTGTTAGTATTCAATATCATGGTGCAGTTCTCATGGTAACTTGAACTGCATTCCGCTACAAGAACCATCAATGTAAATAGTGTTTAAGGCTTAGGCTACAGGGTTTAGGGTGTAAGGTTCCCACAAGCCTGAAGCCCTGACTTTGCCTGGACCCTCAGTCCAAGCTGTGGCCAGAGACCCGAGCCGGGTTTAGGGTCTAGGGGTTCGAGTTTATAGGGCCTGAGCTTTGCAGGGGTCTTATAGGGTATACGGTTTGGAGTTTAGGGTTAGGGCAGCACCCCACTTGGCCCATCGATGCCAAGAAGGAGGGACCGCCAGGTCTTTCGCCAAGTCGCCATGCAGGTCCTTAGCTTAGCTACATACCGCCAATACAAGGGCCTTAACAATTAGAATAAGGTTTTGAGGCATGGTATAATGCAATTATTATAAGGACCCCCCCAAACAATAGTGTAGGTAATTATTAAGGCCCTTAATACTGTAATTATTATAAGGGCCCCCCCAAACAATAGTGCAGGGAATTATTAAGGCCCTTATAGTACGGAATCCTTGATTCAGAGTTCAGGTCTCTTGAGTGCGGGGTTTCGGGGTTTAGGGCTTGGCGTTTCGGGGCGACGGAGGTTAGACATGTTGATGATGTTCTGGCATTGAAGAAGTTTACAGAGTGGCTTGAAAAGGTCGAGACTAGGTCTTTCAAAAGGTGGTATCGAGCTTAGCAAGTTCGGGTCTACTTGATGACTCACAGTATGTTACAGGCAGAGCACTGAGTACCCTAATCGGAATTATGCCGCTATGCTAGTCCCAACCTACATCCAACTTGCACAGAGGGTTCAGTACAGTAACCTCTAAAGTCAACGAACTCACCCTGTCCGGGTTGTGGAGCCCAGAACTGGCCCAAGACCCATACCTGAAGTCCAAAACCCTGAAATCAGTAACTAAATCGAAGCCGAAATCGTATCCTAAAGCCAGAGCCCGAACACGGAAACTCTGTTTTGCTGCTGTTCTTTGAAAGCGTTGGATTCGGGCTCCATGCTTCCCGCTGAGTTGGATGCTGCCAGCGCAAACACCGGCTCACAATGCTGATTAGATAAACCCCTAAACCCAAAGATTCCTGCAGAGTCCGGGCATTTGAAATCGAAACTTCCCTTTCCCAGACCCTAAACCGTAGGGTTCACTAGCCCTGAAATCCGTATACCTAAGTTTCAGATTGTAGCGGACCCAGGTATGACCCTGGTATACCCTGATTATAGGAACTCCTCAAACATGGCATGTCTGAATGAAAGCAACCCTCACAATCTGTGCACCGGAGCTCAAAGAGAAAGCGCATCTTGGGTTGGTTGGGCCAGCTGCTGCACCATTCTGCCACCTCCAGAGTGCGTGGGGTTCATGAAGTACATGGTAGTGGAGACTTACATCACAACTCAGGTTGTAAGCATATAAGCCTGGCCCAGCCTGGCTGATAGCTACGATTTCTAGGACGCCTCTATATTGAATTAGCGATGGGCTTGCCTTGAATATCGACCTCTCTAGAGGACGGTGAGCATCTCCTCAAAGAGGAAAAGGAGGGACCCTTACTGGGGACCCCTATCCCTATAATGGGCTATATAATGGTTATATAATAGCTATATTAAGGGTATATACCTAGGGGTCCTTCTTAAGGGTCCCTTCTTTTACCCTTGGATCTCCTACACCCAGGGACTTCGAAACATATGGGTGGTTGTCAAACTTAGGGTCCCTTTTTGGGTCCCTATTATATTACGGCACCGATTATTTAAGGGTACCCCAAAAGGAACCATTATTTTGACAACTAGCCATATTCCCTTAGAGCTGTTGGTACTCTGTCAACACAAGGTTGCTCAGAGCTCTATCGGTGGTTCTTGCTGTCATCGTTCGTGTTGTCGTTCCTGTGTCATGATCTCATCATGTGCGTTTCAAGTTGAATACTGTTGCTGTCATGACCAATGTTGCTGAGGCTTGCACTTGATACCTTCATGGTCACAGCCACAAACCCAAATCGTAAAGCCTAATCTCCGGAATCCTCATTTGATGCCAATCCGAACTCGCGAGCCTCTGTTTTTCAAAGCCAGTTTCCCCACCAGCAGTCTGCGACAATGATGGAACTTGATTGCCTACATGAACTTTTCTGCTCTGGGGCATAGCGTTCAATGTTGCAGGACGTATATCTGCGGTAATATAGTTTTGGGGCCTATTATACCATAATTGCAATACGGAACCCCCAAAATAGTATTGGGAATCATTGAGGCCCCTCTAGTATATCTGGGCATCAAGTTCCAGAGCGGATATCTGCAGAAACTCAGCGTGCAGCGAACGTCCGCCGCTTTTTGCGCGGTCCCGGCTCTGCTTCAGAGGCCTCCGGCTCTCCCAGCAGCTTGCGCACCTCTGCGGGAAGAGTGCCCTTCTTCAGCATGGATTTGATCTTAGCATTCTTGGCGCCGAAGGTCCTGCAAGCCTGCTGCAGTGGCTCCAAGCCCTTGAGCATTGCAGCTTCTGCGATGGCGGAAAAACTGTTGACGGCGATCATCTCCGGCAGCATCCCTACAAGCACTGACACTACGCCGTTCACCTGCCAGCGATGGGCCAAATCCAAGGCAACGAGCACTGTCTCGTAGTTCGGGTCTTCGCCAGTGGAGCTGGTGTATAGCAGATCAACGAACAAGCGCACGCCAGAGGCCGAGGAGTCTTTGACAGGAATCCGTTTGCTCAGGCCTTCTTTCATAGTGGAATCCAGCATGGCCCTCAGAACAGGCGAGCTGGTCACAAGAATGAAGTCGTGAGCCGACACCTCACCATCAGCTGTTTGAAAGACTACGTTGTGTGTGGAAGTCATCTCACGTACGGCCTCCCACCTGTCGACGACACTCTGAGGAACTGAAATGTTGCATTGCGCAGTCCTTGCTGGGCCTGCGGTCAGCTCTGTTACATATCTTTGGAACACTTGGACTCTAGGAGAGAAGGCCTCTGCATGGGGTGACCTTTGCAACTCCCTCAGCACAGCACATGCGAATGTAGTTGCACAATGCCCCGAGTGCGGAATGGTGATTTTCGTACCCTCCACATCGCTCCGTAACCAAGTGGAATAGAATCCCTTTGCAGTAGACGGGCACTTTTGGAGCGGATCCGCTCCTCCTTTGACCATCCAGTTGAGAATCTTGACTCGGGTTTCGACCTCCGTCGAGGTCCCCGCCACCATCGCCTCGACCAGCGGCAGGTTCCTGAGTTTCAAGGGATTCCAGCTGTTCTATCCCATCGAATCAACAAGAAGAATCAGACACAGCTACACGGCAATGTATGGTCTGAATGAAACCTGTGCAGCAACGACAACAGAAAGCCACATTCAAGCGATGGGGTCTTCGAACGGCTACAGTCTATGGGTTCAAGCCTGAGTTTGCAAAAACTACCCCGAATTCACCAAGGTTCTGGGTTTTGCTCACGTATCCAGACCAGTCATAGTCGGCTGGTGTCACGCGCTGCAAGGCTTCAAAATCACCCACCTCGATCAAAGCAGCAATCACATCGGCCGTACATGCTGTGGCCATGACACCGTCGCGGCCGCTGGGCCACAACTTTGACCAAAAGCTGACGGAGGCTTGTCACCAGCCAGGGATTTGTAAACACACTAAAAGAAGACTATTGCATAACATATCAGTGAGAAGAATACCACATGACAAAATCACGGTCGGTATTTGTAGTTGTAACGTGTAAGGGATGGCTCTGACCGTTTAGAGTCGCTGCTCGGATGTCAAACTTTCCCTGTCCACTGCTCAGCAACGACATTCACGTCCGCGAAGTACGTTTTAGCCTACAAAGTGTGTTCCAACTCCAGGCTTTCAGAACTTGCATAGATCAGCATGCTTTTGGCTAATGACTCAATATGCGGTGACAACATTATGATGCTTTCTTGCGAATTGTTGTCCAAAGCGATGGCAGGATTCACAGTCTTGGGTGAGCTGCCAGACCTCAAGCCTGAACTTCCATGAGGGCATGGAGTGCACATGTCGAAACCTCAAGCTCATGTACACTTTCTAAGGCAATTTGCTAACTCTACATGGCATCAGTGAGACGCCTTGCTGCGCGTGCTGTAGAACTCCAAGCAGATTGCGTCACACACTCCTGTTCTCGGGCTACGAGGACAATCATGCTGGTTGAAGCTTCGAGTGTCTAGGGCCTAACGAAACCCAAAGTGCCTATACCCAAAACCACATAACAGTCACGGAGCCGAAAAAATCGCCTGCGTCGGCGTTCCGAGCACGTGAAAGTCGTTGCGGTACAGCCTGGGCGTGGAACGGCGCGAATCGTATTTTCTTTACAGTGTTAGACGGGATTTAGGGCTCGTGTTTGCACTGAGCGATTCGCAGCTTCAAACGTTGAGTGCTTAAATCGCGATCCAGGGCGCAAGGTAAGAGAGGTCGCATGCGGAGTTGGCGAACAGTTCGAGCCGTCTGGGACGGTCTTCGAAGACGCAGCGTTCAGGTGTAAAGTTTAAAGCACTACGACCAGGTGTAGCTGGGGTGGAATTCAGAACTCACATGTTTAAATGTAGGCCCCAATATCCTGCAGCCCCTTCGTCTTTAAACCCTGGCCAACCCCAATGTAGTTAGAGGATACAGACCAACACAGAGCACCACCTTCTTCACTTCTTCCATTTCTCCGATGCCCAGCACTGAGCAACTCGTGTTTGTAGTGTTGCCTGGTATTCACGTTCAGGGTTCTGGGGCTTGCATGACAGCCGCCGCAAACACTGGGCTGGAAGCCTCAAAGCAGGCAGGTGAGCTCTTCCAGGACCTATATAGCTCAAGGGTTTAGAGATGGTTTCGCATCAGAAACCACGTTTCCATGAACCATATAGAGTCATCCCCGAAGCCATCTGTTCTCGAGCTCCGCAGTCGGGTCCCAGGGCCCGAGGTTGGTATGCATAGCTCTTGAAACCCTTCTTGAACACGTAAAAGATCATTCAGACCATAAGTGAAAGAAAAGAGATGACAGAAAGTCCTATGTCCCCCAAATGACTGAAGCACGATCCTTACTAACATATAGAGTCTCAGGAATGATGCACACCACTGATTAATTTGAAACTCTCCCCTCTAGTGAGATTTCACAAGGATTCCAATAAGGATCCTAACATTAAGGCTGCGTAAAATCAGGTTCATTAAGCAGAATTATCCAGAGGTCTACAGCACTCATCAGCAAAGGATGCTATAGTCTCGTGGGCTCCTGCCCGACTTCTGCAGCCAGAGCGCCTGGAACTTGCTATCCCTTAACCAGCGCAGCCTCTGCACTCCAAAATGTCGAAGCCCTGAAGACTCTTTTGAGCAAGAACGTTTCTTGTTGGTTAATGGCAATACACGGTACGAGACCTTGAATGCCATGGCTTCCCTGAAACCCCCTCCCCCAACTAGGGCTGAAGGCTTTGCTCAACTCGATTCGCCTTACAACCCTTATCTCATTCATGAACAAGAAACAAATAAGTATAATAGCTATATACACACCCTCACATTGGAATCATAATCCGGGTTATCCCCTTGACACCGAAATCTTTGGAAAACCAAATAGCCCAGAGCCCGCTCCGGGCCTAGCATTCCATGCCCCATAAAACCCTAAACCCTAAACCGCCCCATAATATGCAGGACTGAGTAAACAGAACAGGGTTTGAGGATATGTGTAATGGTATCGTTAGAATAAGGAAGCCTGCAGGGCCCTGGGAGTAACATAGTTAAATACTGAGGCCTCTATATTCCTAAAGCCCATAAAATCCTAAACCCTGAACCCCGTTTAGGCTTCTATATTCGTTTTTCGGCTTCTAAATTCCTAAAGCACATAAATCCCTAAACCCTAAGCCCCTTTAGTTAGGGTTCTATAACCCTAAACCCTAACCCCGCGCATCCGCCCGATCTCGGCCCGGGACTTGATGCCCTTGAAAGGAGCTCCTCGGCTGATCATGGCCTCATCAGGAGTTGTTCTATGATGTGCTTAGGGGTTTAGGCAGGTTTGGGGTTTAGGGTCGAAGGTTTAGGGTTTAGGGTTATCATCGCCTCATCAGGAGTTTTTCTATGATGTGTTTAAGGGATCAGGCAGGGTTTAGGGTTCAGGAAGCTAGCCTTCTGTTGGATTCAGGCTTTCGGATGGTAAGGGCTTCAGGAATTCAGGAGTTTCAGAGTGTCTTGTGGTACTAATCTGTGGAACTTGTCGGCATGGAGGTATCGAATGAGCTTCGGGTGGTCCACAACGCCTGAAGAATCGGGGCTTGGGCTGGAGCTAGCGAGGCTTCAACCCGATGTCGAAGTATCACAGGCTTTGCAAACCAGACCCGCCACCCTACTACACCACACTCCAACCGTGGGCCCTCTAGCCCTGGCTTGAACTGTATATACCCATAGGCGGTCTATAAGGGTATTGTTGTAGATTGACCGATAAGAATTCGAATAGGGTTTTGGGCCCATTATACTACTATAGTTATAACAAAGACCCCCCCCCGAAAAATAATCGTGGTAATTATTTGGGCCCTTATATTAGATGGAGTTTAGGGTTTAGGCTTTCTTTATCATACTTCGAGACTCAAGTTGTGTCGTGTTCATTCGTAGGGATGCCAATATGCAAGGCATGCTTCCAGCGTTCAGCATGATTCAGCATGCCGGATGACATGAGGGTCGGGAGACCTCATGATCACGCCTCTCGTTTATCGAAACCACTGCTTTAAATGCTCGTGAAGCGGAAGCTCGGTGGGCACGGAATGTCAAAATGGCAAACGTAGCCAAGATTTGCAAATACACCCTAAGCGAGGGGCATCCACCCAGCATGTTGGGGTGTTCTCCCACTTTGAGATGTGCAGTCCTGACTTGCTTGTCCCGAGCTCCAGGCCGCGATAACGCCAGAAGTGTAGAACTCGCCTTTCTGATCCTCAAAGCAGGTTCAATGTGACTAAGAAGAAGCTGAGTATGGCTTGGATGATGAGGTGTGGCCAGGCAGTCACAATCCGGCGTTTAGGTAGCTGGGAATATCATCACGGTTGTGATTGTGCCTGTAATTGACAACCGGGCCACCGTGACACTGATGATGTTGACACAGGTGAAATACGAGGAAAATCGTTGTCATGATGGCTGCGATGGCGATGATGCTGCTGATGAAGATGTTGACGATGATAATGATAATGAGTACCATGCTGATGCTGATAGTGGCGACGAAACTAGCAAAGGCGATGATGACGATAAGGACGACGAGTAAAAGCTAAAGCTGATACTCTACATTGACATGTTGCGAACAATCACTTATCCATCAACCTAGAGCCCTGCCCACTCCGACCGGGCGCCACCGACACTCGAATTTGGCACATCCGACCCTGCGTAGATCTCCCTGGCCGACCTGCGAAACATAAATCAAAACCCGCTTGGCAATTGAGGAATAAGCCTTGTTTCTTCCTCGGAAGTTACAGCACACTCGCACGTAAGCTTTTGACCTCTGGCATATCAGCCCTAAATCCCAACACCAATACACCCTGAACCTGCGACCCCTGAGCCCTTAATCCTGAACCCTCAACTGGCCCTCAACATTCGAAAAGCCGAAAACTGAAGGCCAGTCCAGGCATTCCGCACTCCAAGCTCTATGCACAGTCCTGACTAAGCTGCGTCTCGCCTCGCTTGATCAACGCCTGGCACGACGAATGTAGCCAGCAACAGCATCTACATCTACTTTAATCAACCTCCCCAAATCCGCATACTCCCCTAAGTTTGACTCCAAACTAAACCAAAAGGCATCTCCCTTAGAAGTTGGATTCTGGAGTCTCAAGCAAACCGAACTAAGAAAGCCTTGAAACAGTTGGCCTCTCTGACATTCAAAAACTCAAGGGTGGGAGCAGACTGTCAGACCCTTATTTTGAGGGGCCTTCTGTGCTTCATTATTAGAATAGGATTTTGGGGTACATTACCCTGGGGCTCCAAGTATACAAACAGTACCTACTTTGGAGTCTAAAGGGACTTAGTAACTACGGTTATAAGTACCTTAATACTGGAGTTCTAAGTAGTTCTAAGTATGGTTACCCTAATTATAATCCTAGCTACTAAGTCCCATGATCCTTTAAGTAAGCCTCATTTATCTGGCCACAGATCCAGGCATCCAGGGCTCGAAGGTCCGCTGAGGGCTTAGGATTTTCCGCTGAGGGCTTAGGATTTACATGGGTCTAGCGATCTCACATAGTGGTCAATTCTAGGGTGTTGTAGGATTAATGATAGGAACCACACTAATATTATAGGGGACTGTGTAAGCCCCTATCCTACTTGGGGCCCAGGCCTGCGGCTTCAGGTTGCAGTTTGGGTTTGGTGGCCAAAGCCCTTGTGATTGTCGGAGGCCTCAAAAGGTGGGATGAAGGTAGGTAGGATTAAGGATCCCTTATATAAGGACTCTTATTTGGGAATATCCCACCTACCTTCATCCCACCTGTTGAGGCCTCCGAGATTGTGAGGAAATCAGATGCAGATTGAAGCGCACTAAACCGTGGATCGGCCTGCCCAGAGCCTCCAAAACCCCTTAATTAAGGAATATACCTTAAATCATATTAGGGCTCCTGTTATAATTTAAGGTATATTCCTTAATTAAGGGCTTTGGAGTCTCTGGGTGTGCCAGCTCGCAGGCCCGACCCTCACAGGCCGTACCCCTACACTGCAAACCCTACTTAAAGGATCATGGGACTTAGTAACCAGGGTCACAATTCGGGCAACGGTACTTATATCTACTTATAACCACAATTAAGGTACTTATAACCTTACTTACTAAGTCGCCTGATCCTCCAAGTATACACCACAAATCCAAAACCCCAAACGCTAAGCCCCCAAGTCCCCAAACCTGAACGAAGGGAAGCTGCCTCACACTCTTTGGCCAGCTCCGCACCGTCTCGGAAGCAGTAGCAGCCTTCGAAGTCGGGGCTTTGAGGACTTAGCAGTGACAAACCTTCAGCGTTCAAAACTCAGAATTTTTGGGCCGAGGACATGCCTGTGGATCCAACAACCTACAGCTTCAGGCCGCTATTAGGGTTGTAGGATTTGGGGATACAGCTAGAGTCCGAGATCGGAGGCTTAGGGCTGTGATACCTGAACGTGAACACGGCCCTGCATCCCTGCTCCCTTCTACTCCAACACCTCTGACACCATTGGGCTTCGAATTGCGGTCATCATAGCAGAAAGGAAGTTGGGGATAAGGGCTCTCGACTGTCGGATTTAGGATTCAGGTTTCAGGGTTTACGTCTCAGGCAGTACCAACATCTCCCGGTTCGAAAGCAAGTATCGCGCAGCCTATGACAACTATGAGGGGTCCTTCTGCACTTAAGGATGGTGGCTTGTCTTGTTTGAGAAGCTTCAGCATGCACCTTCATGCAATACTCAGCTATGAGCCGTAATAACACCACCTGTAGCCGGGCTGCGTTCTCCCCACTCCCCTGCTCCTTGAAGTAGACCGGAGAGCGCAGGGTTGGGAGTCATGGGGAGGTCTACGGTCGGCAGGGTCCTATATTTTGGAGAAGTCAGAGAGAGATGAGTGTATTGGGGCTCAGAGTGCGACTTTTAGACATTAAGCATTGAGGGTTTTAGGCTTTGAGAACTGCAGAGTTTAGATTTTGGGTGATGGGTCGGTTGGGATTTTACGTCTTACGTCTTACATGGCTTTCGGGCACGTGAAGTTCGAGTTTTCAGCTGATAGAGTAAAGTATGGTGTTTACAGTCTGAATCTACGGGAGTGTTCTTTAGGGCCGTGGTTTGCAGTTTCAGGTTCAAGCCTGCAAAATGCACAAGGTCTGCGTCCGGGCCTGTGTTGGCCCAGTCACTGATTTTCACCTTCTCCTGGCGCGTTCGAGTCTCTTGACATGCCTGCAGATTGGATCCCAACCACTCTAGCCCCTTCAGTACACCCTAGACACTATAAGCCCTAAACCCTAAGAGAGGGGTCAGGGCCTGGTCAGGGCTCACAGCCTGGCATCTAGTCATCTGGAGCTCTCAGCCCTTTCGGCAAGGACCTGGCCTTCACTTCTTTGATGTTGTCTGCATCATCCATGGTGATATAACCTGGTCCGATTGGAAAATAGCTCGTAACGCATGCGAACACACTTACAGATCATACAGCGAGCAAGCAGACAACAAACAAACATGCGGACAAACAAATAAACACTGTGTTATGCCTGCCTACGGTTGAACCCCCAGAGCCTCTGAAATAAGAGATCGGGCTCGAATTTCAGTGAGCAGCACGAACACCACTTTGAGCTGCCAGCAAGCGTTTGAAGTCTGAACTCCTGAAACCGAAACCTGTCTAAAAAGGCCTAAGCGACACGGCACTGCTGTCTAAAACCCGAGCCCCGAAAGACTCCTGGAGTCCAAAATCCGACATCATAACACTACCTGCCATGCGGTTGAGGCACTCTGATCTAGCCGGAAACCTTACATCAACAAGCCGGCAAACTGAAAGCCTTGCAGCCGGGAAGCTGTAGATGGGCTTTGGCTGTGTATCATGAAAGCAGAAAACGGCGTTGTGCGTCGCGGCCTTTCTGGGGCTGCAGGGCCGCCAGCCAACATTTCAAGCATAGTGACAGTGAGACCAATAAAGTGTGCACATAATCTACGGACATCAGAACCCCAGGTTCCTGTGGCACCAGACTCCGCGATACATGCACCAAGCAGAAGCACCCTTTCAAGAAGCTCTCTGATGATTACGCACTTTGCTGCATCACACGAAGCCCACTGTGGCCGACCAGCCCTAAGGATGACTGAGGACCCTGAGCCCTGAGCCCCAAACCCAAACCCCACATGTGTTATATCCGCAGCCGCAAAGTCACTTGCAGCCTAGCCGCAATTTTTCGAAACTGGCCGACGACGTCCGAGGTGTAGAACGTATCTCCATCCTCGGTAAAGGACTTCATAGGGCTTTTCGGGTTTGTAGCTTGGAACTGGCAAGTGACGGGCTTCATAGACAGTGGCGAGGCATCTTACTTGCTGTTGTTAAAGAGCGGTTGTGAATCTGTACTTGTTGCTAATACTATAAATCCGTAAGGGTCCATGTATCTAAATAGTAGATACTTTAGCCTTAAAGTACTCCCTATGTAGGTACATTGGGCCTAAAGTATATACTACGTGGGCACATGGGCGCCTAGGGAATGGTGAGTTCCACTGAAATGCTGTGCTCAGATTACGGGGTTTGAAAGTGTAGGCTGCTTTGCACTTCGACAGGGGTTCTGCTCTTCGGAATAGCACTCTGGGGGTCTAAATGCCACGTAAGCAAGTAGACCCGAAAGCTGTAACATCTACATATGTTACTCTACTGGCAGCACGTTGAACACTCAGCGCCTCAAGACGAATGCCCGGAACCCTTGCAGCATGCATCGCGAACCTCCCGCCCCTCGACCTCTAACAGCCAGTAAACCCTCAGAAGCTCATGCCTCCCACCCGGAACCCTCCACCTCCAAACCCGGAGATAGAACACTCCCTCAGGGTCCATGTACCCAAATACATACTTGGGCCTAAGTGTTCCTATATAGGGAGGCCAAAGCATATACTATTGGGGCACATGGACCCTTAGGGACTATGAAACCGAATGGGCCAGGCGTCTGCCAACAAAGTAGGTCGTGATCGAAGATCCTGCTCTTGTCTTGGAGGGCTATGCATGGGGGCCTTAATAATTAGACTAGGGTTCCTTGTCAGGGTTCCTTTACAGGGGGTCTCTAAGGAGGGTTCTGCTTAGCGCGATTGTTAAGGGTTATACAGGGTTTTGTGCATTCAGGTGACAGAGAGGACGACCAGAAGGTTATGGAGTTTTGGAAGATTCTTTTGGGTTGTCATGGCGTTCATGGCTTTATTCATTCTTAAGCTGGGCCTAGTGGCAGTGCATTCAAACATGATAGCCTCTGCCACGGATATCATACTGACTCCAGCCCAGGCCCTCCGGTAACCCCAATTTGAGGTCACCAGTTTGGCAACCCAGAATCAGAGTCACCGTATGACAACCCCACAGTTCCTGGAACTAGTTCCTAGCCTGTCCTCTTGACCTCGTGAAAAGCATGTTTTTAGGGTGTGCCTTTGTGCTTGTTGTGTTTTTGCTTGTTTTTCCTTCGATATGTATAGATATAATAAGGTTTCAAGGTGGATTTCGTTGGTGTGGTATGCGTTTATCGGTTAGAATATATATAGACAGCTATGATCTCACAGGGATGCGTACATGTACATTGAATCCGAGTACCGGCACCGGCCTTACAGCACCATTTCTCGAGAAGTGGACCATGACCCGGGTGTGCACGATCACTTTAAGGTCCCGGGATTCCTGAACCAGTCCTCCATACAATATTGCAAACGGCATTCGATTCTGCAGGCTTACTCCAGGGGGGCGCAGTGTGTACATTGCAACTCGTGCGTAGAACGGCAATATGGCGACTTGTTGGCCATGTTGCGGGCCCGAGTGCGAGCTGAGCTTCAGAAGCGCTTGAGATCGGAAGGTGCGCCCTCTCCGCCCTGCTACTGCTCCTGTGTGTGTGTGTGTGTGCATGTTAGAGTTTGTCGTCTGGCTGTATATATAGGTAAGTTGTATCATGTCGCGAATGGTTCGCAGGATTTGCTGTTTAAAGGTGTAGATCTGGGCACTGCATTTTGCAGTGCATTGTCACGACATGGCTGCCAATGTGCCGGCAGCAGATCATGATGATATGAAAGATTTCGAGGACGAGCAGCCACTAGGCATTTCTACTGCGATGCTTTTTTTGTCCGTGTACATGTCTGTTCTAGATATATGTCCCAGGTTGCTATCCCTTCGAGAAATCCTCTCCACGTGGCTGACTAGCAAGCCCGCTGATACACGACATTCGTTGCTGTCAAGAATGCGAAAGAGTGAGGCCTGCACATTTTGTATGCACCTCTCGGTCTCTCTCTGTCTCTCTTTCACTCTGTCTCGCTCTTTCTCTCTCCATACATGTGTCAGGACCATTCTTGCTTGAAGCTGGTGGAGTTTGTGTCCGAGACCGCAGTGCAGGAAGCACATGAGATTCTCAAAGAACTGTATTTGAACTTCGGCACCAAGCAGCCAGTGCTTAGCAAGTACCGGGCTACTTGCATGCAGTGTGCAGTTCTAGTACATTCAGACACATAGCATATAAACTCCCAAGTTTCTGAGGCTGCCTTTCAGTGGGTTCAGGACGAGTACAGTGTTTTGCCAGTGACTGCAAAGAAGAAGGAGATCCAGGCAGGCTCCGGCCGGCATTCACTTTCGATTTGGAATGTCAGACCTGTATACACTTGTAGAGTTGGCAATGATTGGCAGGGCTGGGTCGAGATACAAGCTGCTGCTTTGAGAAGCAGGGCCATGTACGGAATCCGACTCTGGAGGAAAACTCCAGACAGATCATTGTCTGCTGGCAACATTTAAACATGTGTGATGGTTTTGCTCGCGTGTCCATATATCGGTGTTTTCGCTATATATAATATAATAAGGTCCAAGGAGGTGCAGCTGCTGAAGGACATCCTTACGCTGTTGGCGACAGACGGCGACGGTGGCGAGGATGGGGGCTCCGATGCCTCATCAGATTCAGGTGCTGAGGACTCTGCAGGGGAGGAGTCGTCCGTTGCTGACGAACCCGCTGCAGAAGGGTCTGACATGGATACGTGTGACACGCAGGTTCCTATGCAGTCCAGTGCCGATGAGTCAAGTACGAAGAGTAAGGTTTTGCCGCCAGTGCCGAAATTCAGTGGCGGGGCGAAAGATCCAAGCTTCGTTGATTCCGAGCCCTCTGCAAGTGAGATTCCCTTGAAATCTCAGACCCCAGATTCCTCCTTGGCCCCCAGCCATGATGAGATTCCTGCGAAATCCGAGACCCCGGATCCCTTGAAATCCGTGGCACCAGATTCCTCGTTGGCCCCCAGCCCTGATGAGATGCCTGCGAAATCCGAAGCCGCAGATTTGACCATTCGCCCCAGCACTGAGATTCCCATGAAATCCGAGGCCCCAGATTTGACCATTCGCCCCAGCACTGAGATTCCCATGAAATCCGAGGCCCCAGATTCAAGCATGGGCCCCAAGCCTGAGATTCCTGTGAAATCCCAGGCCCTGGACTGCCCGATGAAATCCCAGGCCCCAGCTGCAGCAGTGCCACCTCATGTCCCAGATATGCAGTGCCCCGATTCCGCAAACGCAGAGTCTCCAAAGCCCATGTCCGGAACGAATGCCGCTAGGCTGCTGATATAATTACCCCAGTAGTATAATCTCGATACCTGTACCATGTGTGTCGCAAGAATCCCAAGGAGAATCCCGTAAAGGAGGAGACGACCCGTGCTGCAGAGAAGGCTAGGCCATGCAATATATATGGCTAGCTAGCTGCTATATATGTACGTAATATTATGTCGCGTATACTCGATATACAGGCAGCGAGCGAGCCACTGATTCAAGAACGACCAGAGTGGAACGTGGAGGCAAAGGTTGCCGAGTTGAAGGCTAAGGGGTATATCATCGACGCGAAGGGTGAGCAGGAGAGTTTGGACGAGTATGCCGGGTTGCCGGAGGTTCAGTCAAAGCTGTTACTTCCCCGCATATATTGATGCACATGCACATCGATTGATACCAGTACCCCGAATCTTATTATTGGCCACATTTATTTAGCACCCTAAACCCTGAACCCCTTAATTGCTTTAAACGGTATATATATATAGCCTTATGAATGCCCGGCCACGCAATATGTGTGCTTATAAATATATATCTGCTGAGGCGAGCTGCAGCGAAGGCCAAGGCCCAGCCCGTGGATGACAGCGGCAAGCGTGGTCGCGGGCGTGGTCGAGGTGGAAAGGGTAGAGGGAGAGGGCGTGGGCGGGGTGCGACTCCCACGAGGCTCAGCTCAAACATGTATATATTGTGTGCTATATATCGTGTATATATACTCGTACAGCAGTCGTAAAGTGTTTTTATCAGGACAGCTGACAACCCGACTCCGGAGCCGGGCCCTGCTGAGAAGAAGGACGACGACGCTGCTGTCCCCAAGGGTAGAGGCAAGAAGAAGCGTGCGAGTGCCGACAATGAGATGGCCATGGAGACAGCAGCCGCCAAGAAGCCTAAGAAGGGGAACGGCAAAAAGGGTGCGCGTGCCGAGGAGCAGGAAGCTCGCGAGGAGACGAGTGAGCAGGAGGATCGCGAGGAGATAGCAGACACCAAGAAGCCTAAGAAGGGGAAGGGTAAAGGAAAGGACCAGCAGACGCCCTCCGAGGCGCCAGCCTCTTCCAGCACAGCTGCGAAATCGAAAGCCAAGGCCAAGCCCAAAACGAAAGCAACGAAGCAGGAGCCAGCTGATGATCACGAGGAGTCGAAAGCAAAGAAGGAGGAGCCCACCGGCGAGGATGAGGCCCCAAAAAAGAAAAGGATGAAGCGTGCGGATTTCGGCAACATGCGAATTCCTAATTTCAAAGACTACTTCGCGACTGGACATGATGCAAATTTCGTTCATGTATCCTGCTGTGTCTGCATGTGCAGTGGCAAATTTAAAGAAATATATAATAAATATATATATATATATATAGCAGCTACCAGCTTGTCTTCTAAGGTGATGCCATACTGGAGCCGAAGCTGTGTTGGTCTGTGCCAGAAGCAGTTCGACGGTTCGAAGAAGCAGGTCCGAACTGGAAATATTGGGCCGGGTTGTGTGTTTACGTGTCCACATGTACATTCGTGTTTTCATTCGAAACTGCAGAGTGCGAGTGAGCGACTGACAAAGTGTATGATCGTATTAGTACTAGTACTGCTACTACTACTACTACTACTACTACTACTACTACTACGACTAGTACTACGACTACTGCTACTACTACTACTACTACTACTACTACTACTACTACTATACACTACGATACTAGTACTAGTACTAGTGCTAATACTACTACTAGTACTAGTACTAATACTAGTACTAGTCCTTCTACTACCATATACGATACCACCACTACTACTACTGCTACTACTACTACTACTACTACTGCTACTGCTACTGCTACTGCTACTACTACTACTACTACTACTGCTACTACTAGTACTACTGCCACTACGAGCTAGTACATGAAGACTATTTGAGAAACCGGCCCTCCTCGAAGCCTCTTCTGTAAACCCTCTAGCCCAACACCCCAGAAGCCCTAAGGCCTCACACCCGTAAAAGACGAAGCGTGTAAGAGTCGATCGGCAGGTGCTGCACATTTCGGGCCCCCACAATGTCATGCCGGAGACAGCTGCACTCGCGATGCAGAATATGATTGACATCTGTGCAACAGCTGTGGCTGGGCTTCGGTTTGATGATGAGTACATATACAGGCACATTCGAAAATATTGCGATCGAAGCTCTATAGCATGTCTCCGGACTTCCACGTTCGAACAAGAAGATGCAGCTCATACTGCAGGGATCTCATGATCAGATCGCACGTTTAAGGATTCGGCTTCAAGCTTCAAGGTCTAGGGATGAGGCTTTTGAGGCTATGGGGTTTAGGGTTTATTTAGTGTGTTAGTCAAGCTCCAAATCCTCAGGCCAAGCGCTTGGAAGATGGCATGGACTTTGCTGCTGTGAAGACGAAGTTTGAGCGAGCCAAGCACGGGCTCTATTAGTTCATTTTGTCAGAGTCAGCCAGAGTGTGCAGGACTCACCCCGAAGACCAGGCTAGTTGGTTAACACTATATAGCATCGTACTAGATATATTAGTACGTATACATATATATATATATAATGGTACTACCGGGCCTGGGGTTCACGGGTTTACGTGTGTGCTTAACTGGGTGTGTTGTGCGATGCAGCCAGTACATGTGTATTCTGCAATCAATTCGCAAGATGGGGTCAGAACTCTCTTGTGATAATGGGGCGGAGCGAAGCTGCGAAGAAATCCAAATGTTCACGATGATTGCAATCTGTACTGCACATGCATGCATGTGTGCTCTCGACATGCTGACTGTACTTGTGCCCCAGTGCTTGCCAGGTTTTTGTATGGATAGCTTGTAGCTATACAGGTCCTAGAGGCCTACTAGCTAGCTTGCAGCTATGGTTCTTTCGATTTCCCGAATCGAAGTTATGACCCTTCTGTCCTTGGGCGCTCCGGGAGTGCTGTTTCTCGGCTAGCTTTAAGCGATCTGTGACTGTGCCCGTGTACACACGTAGATGTGTATGCAGTCTACTTGGAAAGTTTGGCCCAGGATACACGCCATCGACTTCATCCTGCAAAACAGTGCCACTCACTTCGCCTCCGAGGATCCTGGCAGCAATTCCCATTATCCTCTATAGGTTCGTGGCGGGCTATTCGGCTAAATTGGGGTGTTCATCCAATAATGTAGCCCTTGGCTTTAAAATCGGATTTAGGAGCTGGAGTGTATTCGATTAATCGTGTTGCTTCAGGCTTGGAGGCTTCGCTTGGGAATAAGTCGGCTTTGCAGTTTTGGATCCTCGGGCTTCGAAGAACCTCACAGTCCTATGATTCAGTGTTCTCACATGAAATCAACCTCGGAGCCCCGAGCTACATGCACGATTCGAAGCTGTCTAGCATTCTCATTCTCCTAAGGAGCTGGACGCCTACGACCTCTTCTGTGGCTGGGGAGGAGTTCACCGTGCCTTCAGTTTCTTGCAATTAACGACTAAATTATGTGTAGCTGCACACTGAGCACACACAGCATGCATGCTCCATGTACAGCAACTGAGGACGCAGAGGGTTTAGATCTTCGAGATTCGATAGAGACCGCATCAACCCTGACCATGATCTGGAGAAGACGATGCTTAGCCTAGTTTGGTGGAACTTGCAATTTCCCGAGGGTCAACTGTGAGTTTGAGCCTTGCATCAGGATGGGTTTCTTCTTTATGCTCCACACCATCTTGAGGATACGTCGTGGTGGGCTGATTACAGCGGGGCCTCCATGTGGACCTCATGTCTTTATGTGTTCTTCGAAAACCAAGAAATCGAAGTGGAACCCTCGGGGAGATGTTTCCTCCGAAACATGCATTCGGGGAAACTGTGTGGCTACGAGGACAGTCCTGGGTTTGCTCTTGGGAGTAGCCAGGGGAGTGCACTTTCTGCTGGAGCAGCCTTCATCCTCCGTCATGGTTTATTTGCCGGCGATGCAACATTTGATGATCAGCATGACCCGCCTGGGGTTGGCCCAGCCCACAGCTGTCCGATTGCTCCTCGCCTCAACTACATGATCTGTACATGTACTGTGCGTGTTTGGGCAGCTGCCGGTTCATGTGTGTGCATCCTATATGTACTTGTCAGCTGGATGGGTCTATTCGGTGCGAAGTCGATGAAACGAACTGTGCTTCTGGGTACAGTGCCACATGCCTGCGACTATATAGCAGCCTCGAATGAGATGTGTAATATTAGTTATAACTAATAGCGCTAGGGCCGCTACCACCTAAGGCCCTGGATCAGTGGGCTATCCTTGGCATCCCGGATTCGAAGAGGTGATCGCAGCAGGCACCAATGGACATCCGAGGGTGTGTACAAGAAGGGTGTGTGCAAACGCACCGGCAAAAAAACCACGCAACCCAGCTACAGTCTAATCACGTGATATGTATACATGTGTGCACTCTAGAGCTACTGCTAGCCCAGGACAGGCGGGTCCCAGCTCAACGCCACGCAATCTTATCCATACAATTTTTGTCGCTATGTGGCCGTTGCACATGGCAAGCTTCTGATGAATCCGGATGCTAGCTTGCAATTCTAGTGTATATATAGCATATCATTTAAAGCTCCGCTACAGTTACAGTACCCCATACCGGCTGAGTCCTTAGACCCTAAAGCCCAAATCCGAATCCGATGTGAGCACTGCAGTCGAAATATCCAGCAGTCCCATAGAGCCGAATCCTTGACCCCGTACTTATAAATCCTTCAGCCAGTATGCAACCCTACAGAGCCCCAATAACACGACCCTAAACTTTATAAGCCCAAAAACCCAAACAACATATCCGAGGAGAACGCTGCAAGCCCGAGCTCGAACACCGACCTGGTGGCGATAGAGAGCATTCCGGAGCTGACAGAGGCCCACTCTGAAACTGAACCAGCCAGGTTTCCATAGGATAAATATAGATTTGCAGGTCCGGCTCTAGAGTAATGGGGGTTTCGGGGTTTAAAGGGTTGGCCCTTTAGGGGATAGTTAACTAGGGCTTATAAGGGTGTCGAGTGTGGGGAGCGGGGATTCAGCATTTGCGGAGCTGTTTATATAGGGTAGGGTTTCCCATTAATCGGGGGTTCAGCTTATAAGGGTGTGTGCGAGGATGTTGGGGGGCTCCAGGGTTCAGGGGTGTAGGCTAGTGAGTGTTTGAGTAGTACTGTATATTGACACTTCCTGAGCCCCGGCCCCAAACCCTCGACCCTTCGGGGAACGTTAATGTTTCTGGTCGTCTGGGTTATAGCTATAATATTATGGGATTGGAAGTTCTACACCGAAGATCTTATTATATGCTTGAAATTATATACTCCGCGAACTCTATATTCTACCCCCTCTAGTCCAATTGTGACGGCATTGTCCGAGACACCTTGCAAATACATGGCCAGTCTTATGGCACAAAATGCATACATGCCCGCTATCTACTCAAGCGGAAATTCATAACCGGGTATATGATTCGCAGATTCTGACCCAAAACCTAAAGCCCATAAGCCTTACTACGATGTGGCTCATCCTACTAACCAGGACCACTAGGCCTACCTCTGTAAATTTGCAGCACCCAGCAATGCAATAGATAGATAGCTGAATCTCAGACTGCCCCCACTTGGCAAGCAACGTTATTGATACTGCTGCCGAAGGGCCCGCACAATCTGTTATGGAGCGGCGGCACGCCGGACTGGCATGTGCATAGTGACACGGAGATGCGATCTTGTCCGATGAGACGAATGCATGAGGACGACACGTACATCAGCGCCCAGTACATATTCACTACTCGGAGGATTCGTATGCGACTGTGTGCATGTGTTGCTTGATCACTGAAATGTCCCGTGTAGGACAGCACTAGAACGCAGTAGGAGTACTACAGATAAACCAACGCGATCTTGCACAAATTGGCCATGATCTAGTCGTCGTCCTGAAAGCGATTGTGGGGAAGTTTGTTGGCCGTCGGTGTGCGATTCCTCAGGCCCCTGAGTACGTAGCCCGATTATAGCTAGCAAGATATATTGAGGACATATAGTATAGGGGGTCTTGTGAAATCTGACGGATTCGATCCTTGTAAGGTAGGGGTCTGGTTGCACGGGTTCACCCCTGGCAGTACTAAGGTATTTGGATTAGGGGCTGCAATAATAATAATAATACATATAGCATTTTTCATGTGGGCTGCATGCAGTGCAGGGGTTAATATTACCAGAGGGACGCAGAAAGTCCTGCAGGCTCTGTTATTAAGGTTTTGTGTGGTTCAGGGCTTATATGGTTGGGTTTTAGACTATAATCCTGTTGAACGCACATCGTGCCCATGCAGTCCTCCCCAACCAGTCGCTGTTTCAGTGATTCCTTTAAAGGCCATGTGAGCACAAATCCGATTCAAAGCATTTCACACCCGAGCCAAAACCACTATGACCCTCAACGAACCCCCAGCACAGTGCATCTTAAATTCGAGCAGGACGACAAGAAGCTTTGGCAGGATGCTTTGCTTGTGGCTCGGTCGCAAAATACGGAATTAAATCGTGAAGTTGCTTTTACATCTGAAGCCATGATACGAGGAGCCAGTTGTACGATTTTTGCAAGACGCACAGCAATCTGGGAAATGGAAGATGAAGTATTGGAGGCTGCCACTGACTACTGACCGTGTCTGTGTTACCCAGTGCTTGTTTCGCTCAGGGGTATGAGTGCCGTGGCTGCTAGCAGACACCCGGAAAAGCTTATTATATGTCTTTAGACCCGAAACTAACACGCCCCAATCATATCCATAGTGGCGCTTTTATAATTATGTTCTTGAGAGTATCTGTATCGTCGAGGACCGTAGGGCTGCTTGCAATCACGGACATATAGACCCCATGAGTGACGTTTGTAATTCGTGCAACTTCTTTTCCTGGGCTATGAGTATCTATAGATACAATGCAACCTTACACGGGAACCCTAAACCCTTAAAGCTATCAGGTTTCAGCTGGGTATATTTCGTTAATCGGTGAGATCATAACAGTTCATCCCGGGAAAGAGGAACCGAGCCTGCACATCCACCATTGTGTGGAGTTGGAGGGTTGCTGGAGGCTGGAGGCCTGTCACACGTGGCCGATGTCATTCGATACTCTGATCCATGCATGTACATCTCTGCCTATCTCGACCTCCACTGTTGCACACAAGGTGGCTAGGCAATTAACTTGATTTCGTGGCGCAATCGGTGTCGAAAGCTGGTCCTCGTGCAGTCATGTCTTTGAGCACCCTGGAACCAGCTAGTGCTGACTAATATGCTGTTATACATGACTGCTCAAGATTATGATTTGTTTTCCGGCCTGGCGACGATTTTGCCGAGCACCCCGTCTTGGCAGCAGACCTTTGGAGGCCGGCTTGAGTCCTAAGGGTTACTATATGCGGTTCGTTGACATCGTCATTTATAAGTGCTATATTATAATACATGGGTGTTAGGGTTCTTTAATTTAGTTTCAGGGTTGAGAATGATG